TTGTAAAACCTAACCTGTTTTAGTTAGGCTTTTTTGTTCCAATTTCTGAATGAATGCCTAATGGGATTACAGATTGCATCTGTGAACATCCTGTACCTTTTAATCTGTCAAATGTTAGTGTTTACAACACTTGAGATTTTTTTTTAAAAAAAAAAAAAAAGAACATAAGATAGATAGAACATAACCAACCAAAAAATTACAGTAATAGGTCACAATAGGAAGTTATACTAAATAGCCTGTGGGAAACGTTGTGTCTGAGCCTTCCGATTCTCTTAAAGAATCCCTAGCTGGAAAGTCTAGATTATACTGACTGCAATGGCAATCTAATTTCTATTTTACAGTTCTGGACCAAGTGCTTATTAATGTCACTTGCTTATTTTTAACATACAGCTTTTACCCATCCAGGCAATGAGCTGATCTATCTGGACCCTCACACCATTCAAAGCTTTGTAGATTCAGAAGAAAATGGCACGGTTGACAATGAGAGTTTCCACTGCCAGAAAGCCCCACATAGAATGAAGATCATGAATTTGGACCCTTCAGTAGCTTTAGTAAGTGTCAGGAAATCTTGAATGCATATACTTTATCTCAAAGTAATGTCTCTCTACATTGGTAAGGGCAGCAATGCATCTCCTTGAACAGAACCAAGATCACAAAGCTGTCTTCTGTGATCAACACATAGTAGTTTGTACATAACTACATCGAGAATCTTAGGGCAAGTGGGGAGCTGTCTGTACTGTAGGGAGCTCGCTTTGTTTTCTTTACTGAGCAGCTTTTACTTCTTTCAAGAGGCATTATAATGGTCAGAGCAAGGAACTGAAACAGGTTTACGTGTTTTATTCTATCACTACTTTATGTTTGGTCACCTCTAGACAAGTTACTTAAACTTACTTTATGTCATAATTTAAACATGTTTAAGTGGAATTATTGTATTTCACCCAAAATTACAAATACAAATGTATTATTTGTAATTCACCCAAAATGTCATGGGGTACTGTGGTATTTGAAAAAATTGGATCTGATCCCATGCCAGTATCCTGTGATTGGGTGATTGGCAGTTGTCACCAGTGGGATGTGTTTCTAAAGCTTTAAACAATCTGTAAAGATACCAGTATCTGTCATTCATTCACATACCTGTTTTTTAATACTGCTGCTTTTTAGAAAGTTTGTTTTTTTGTTTGTTTTTTTTTAATACTTAACTACGTAACTGTGCAAAATGTGGCATGATGCAACGAGACAGACAAAATCATAATGAAGAGCAAATATTTTCAGTATAGATACCAGAATGGAGATGTTCCTTAGGTGGTCCATCATCTACAAGTTTTCAGCTTCTGCTGATACCTGGACTGTAGGAACTGGGTGGCGCTCCATGGAGGAGCACACAGGAGCTGCTGCTATTTTTTGCTTGACTATTTCGTTAGGGGTTTGCAGGCCCTTGTTCTCCCCGTGGGTTCTCTCCCTAGAGCTGCCACATATTTGGAGTCTTGTATCTACTGATCGTACAGGGCATTACTGTATCAGAGGCCAAACCGCCTTACCTGCTGGTACCACATACCTACCATCTGCAAAGGTAAAACTCTGTGTGTTTGTTTTTTCCCCTAAGGGCTTCTTTTGCAAAGAAGAATGTGATTTTGATAACTGGTGTAGTCTTGTACAAAAGGTAAGAGTGGGAACTTAGCATCTCGATTTGTTCTTTATAAAGTCTGGTTTTTATTGTCTGTTTTTTGTAAAATTTTCCTTTGCATTTTCCTTTGTATACAAATTGTATGAGCCATGGAGAAGAATGCATTAAAGCATCAGGGTAAGGCAATACTACTGAATTGCTAATTGGAAATTGTTCAGCACTTTACCAGCCACAAACCCTGCCAGTTGGAAAATGGGTGTAAACATCCACACTTGAAGGTGTTACTGGGTGACACTTGCTTTTAACTTCTAATTCTCACTAAATGACTAAGGTTTAACTGCCATATTGTAGTGATGTATAAATGATTTGCTTCCTGATCCTTTTTTATTGTTTGACATAATAGGCTGCGTGTTCTAATTATGACTGTTAGTCCCTGCTATCTTAAAGATCTGATTCTGTAAGCGCTGCAGGCCTCTAGCTCCTGCTGATCTAGGGAGAACAGAAGGTGCTGGCTGCCACAGGAAACAGACTTGAGGATGTTTCTGCATGCAGCTGTTAAACTAAGCACCAGACGTCTGAATGTAAAGTACCATCAACCTCTAAAGGCATTTATTTAAAAAAAAAAAAAAAAATCAGCTAAGGAAAACAGTTTGTAAATAACTGAAATACAGGAAATGAAGGTAACTTCTCTTTGAAGAGGAATAGCGTTTGGCTTCAGGAACACCTTTTTTCCTGACCAAAACCTGTCCTTCAAAATCTGATGCGTTTTTTTTTTTTTTTTTTTTCCCCTTGGAGGAGCTGATAGATCTGTCTTTTGTGCTATTGATCAACAGAAAACTTGAGGAGAGTTCTATGCAAGCAACTTTCTTTCAAAAAGCAGAAAATATTGTACATTCCTTCTGTGCTTGCTACATGTAAACAAAATTACAGGTTTGCAGATATCAAAGCTGATATCAAAAGATGATAAGACTGATAATTTGTAGTACAGTTCAAGAGATCTGTCTTCCAGATGTGTTTTAACTAGGGATGTATTACAGAGACCATGGTGCTTGGATTTCACAGTATGTCTGTATAAAGACTTTTTTTTCCTGATGGACATGCGTAATTAAAAAACATTTTCAATTAAGCAGACACGTTTTGTGTTTGAAGCGTCTCCCGAGCCAGCTTTTAAAATGAAAGCATTCTGTCCTCAGGAGATTCTAAAGCAGCAGAGTCTACGGATGTTTGAGCTGGTCCAGAAGCACCCACCACACTGGCCTCCTTTCATACCTCCAACAAAACCAGAAGTGACAACCACAGGAGCAGGTAAGGCACCGATTAAAAGCCTAATTGTGCAATGTTATGTTCCTCGTTAGCAAATAAAAGAATAATCACAGGTAGAATAACTATCCTTTGTGAGTGTCAAGCAATATATAGCAGGCATGTATCCAAACAAGCCATACAATTGCTAGCACAGATTTTTTTTTTTCATTCTTACAAAGTACTTTTCTGGAATGCGTCTTTCAAAGTTTTTTTTTTTAAGTGAACAAAATCAGGCATGTCTTTAGAAGCATTTTTTTCTTTATCATTTTTTACAGAACTCATTGAATCTACTGACAAGCTATTTGAATTGGAAGAATTTGAAATCCTGAGTGTGTGAAGGAAACTGTGGTGACTCTTCTGAGTGTTGAATATATTGGTAATATTATTGCATTGACTTAAACAGCCATGTTAGCCCCAAAGTGCCTGAAATTATGGATAACAGAGCACAGAAATCTAGTAGCAGTTTAACACACAAGCTTCCCCAGATGGAAAGGCAGTAAGAGATCTTGTGATAAGATGCTTAAAGGGAATCTCTTTTTAACGTACCTTACCTGGAGACAAACGGGCCTTTGAGATTAAGGCAAAAATACATGTATCACTGGGTACCATGTTTGGAGAAAGGGATAACCCAAATGGATATTTCTTGCTCTCATATAATAATGCAATAGTTTAGTTCTTCAAGCAAAACAGTCTTCAGTTAAGGAGGATGTTTACTTCTGTTCCCTCCTGTGGGCTGCGTCAAAGGAAAAATACATTGTCTTGTTTAAAAGATCGACTGGATCAGGAGAAAATTGTTTCCTTGTTAAATATTTTAACATGTATTTGAGCAACCAGACTTTATTACAAAAATGTTTCTGTAAAAGGAACTATGTCTAATGTATACATTTTGCAATAGCCTTCCTGTTTCTGGGAGACCTCAAGAGGAACAGGAGACTCAAATAGTTGATACAGATCACAACCACTGTTATAGTTATGGTATATTTCACCTTGACCTTAAAATTCAAATGATTAAAACTTAGGTTATTTCTTTCCTAGTTAAAATGAGTCAAAGGTGGTTTAACTGTACCTTATTTATTTTAAAATAGATTTACACAAGTTTCTCTGTTACAGCACTCTATCTGTGCATCTAATAAATTTCTTAAGCTTTTCTTAGGTTGTATGCTGCTATGTTTGGTTAATTTGTGTGAACTAAATATAGACCAGGTTATCTTAAAACTTAATATATAAGCGTACACAGATTACTGAATTGTTGCTTTTTGACTTCTTGCCTTTTGAAATCTGTTTTGGTAGAAGTGCCTTAACCCTACAGGTTTATCAGAACAGCCTGGGCAGTTTTATTTCTAAGGCAGAGAATCTCTCTCTAGCAGCCATAAGAAAAACAGTTCAGAAAAAAGAAAGGCAAAGATTTTTAATCCATGCTGAAGTTCCTTTTCACTACCAGACAGTCCCCCTTGTGGTCATTTTGTCATGCTAGTGTAATGAACATGAATTGCAGACTTTCATCTTCACCAATAAATGACAACATAGAGAAATACTGAATATTGTCTCCTCTCACTTGCACCTCTCGATCAGGGCCACTGTTTTTTCAAACAAAAGAGTTAACGAGATCCTATTGCATCTTGTTTAATGTTTATTAACTACAGTTTGGAAACCACAAACGTAGAAAAAAAATATCATTTTCTTTCTTCTCTGTCCAGGGATATGCTGCATGGTTTTTTAGGAGATTCAAGAGGTCTTCAGGGCCAAACCCTCCGTATGCAGCAAAAGCTTGTGAGGCCCTGCAGACTTCTTGAAGAAGTGTTCTTGGGGGGGGTAACCAGACTTCTGAAAATAGGGCTGCTGGAAGAACGCCTGGTGATAGGAATTCGCACCCTCGGTACCTGACTGAGAATGGCTTATGTGTAAACAGAGGAGGAACTGGCTGGGTTTGTTGAACTCGACGGAAGATTGGGTATTGGTATCAACAGAGCCAGCTTACTGCAAGAGAGGTAGGTCCCTAAAGATACTGGCACTTAGAATGCATAAAGCTCTGATCCTGGAACAAAAACAAAACACACATTTGCATGCGTCCATGTTCAAAAATAAAAACAAGTCCCTGTTGGAGTTTCCCAGAGTTAATTGCAGAAATTTTCAAAAGACAGTGAGCTTTACTATGTGCAGACAGTTTTTTAAAGTTGCATTTGCTTAAACCAAGATGCAGATACCATATGATCTGTCTGTGCTAGGACAGCTAAGAAGTAGATTAGATATTGTGCACAGAAGGATTGTCACTCGGGAGTGTTAAAATGCCTTAAAAAATATTTTAAAAATACATCCAAAGCAGTTGCAGGTCTTTCACAAGTAGGAATATGTTAAATGAAAGACTAAAATGTGATTCAACTCTAAAATAGGCAGAGCTCTCTGACCCTGATCTGGGAAAGTAACATCACATTATGCATATAATTAATTGACAAAATCCTAGTTATGCAAAATCCAAATCAAAAAAACATTGTTTGGGTTGGAAGGGTTGTGACCTTAACGATCAAATCCCTCAAAGGTAAAAATATTACCTGCTTAAAACTAAGCACTTTCGTAAATAGTTTGCTGGATAGAGCTAGAGCTCTAAAACCTAGTAAAGAAATAACACTTTACAATAATGTCTCGGTCTTGTATTAGTAGTAATTTCCTGAAAAAAAATAATCTTTACAATCTTTATGCCAAGGTGCTGGTGTATTTGCAAGGCACTTCTTTTAAATGTCATGGAATGTCAATATATAAGGATTTCGTATGCTTCCCTCTAGAAAGAGAGATGCATAACAGCTTTAGCCCAGCTAAATGAATTTGTGATATACGTTACATTCACTTGCTTTTTTCATGGCTTTCCTTCAAAATATGTAAGGATGTTAAAATTAGTAACATTTCTTTTTAATTACGCTCTGAAGGTAAGTAGGACTTCTTAACAATGCATACAATAGGAATACAGTTTTTTAAACTGAGAGAAATAAAGCCTAAAGGAAGAATACAACAGATCGTGACTGCAGAAATAAAAATGTACATCTCATAACTGCTTTCTTCTGTGTTTGCATAAGCCTGCATGCTGTTTAGTAAGCCTCTACTTTTTAAATACACTCAGCTTGAATAATTACAAGATAACCGTGCCAAGGCTACCTCAGAAAGATTTATGTTCATAATAATGAAGTGTTCCTGCCTGCACGAAGATAAGCACAAACCCTGAAGTAAACATTTTACCTGGAATATATCTCAACAGAAAGCTATGAAGAATGCTAGGGCTGTTTTGGATTCCGCATCAAAAAGTATATTTTTCACTGGGATAGCTCTTATAAGTCAACCATGGATATGAGTCTGGATTACAATTGATTACTCGTCAGAAAGCCAAAGAACATCCCATCTGTTGAACAAGCAAAGCAAAACAAATTCATCTCTGACTCCTCCTAATGAAGTCAGTTATCAATCATTAATGCTTAAGTCAGTGATGCAAATCATCTACAATGCATTATAAATTTTGGCTAGTTCTGTATTTCTGAGGAGAATGAGACTTCATTTCCATATACTAGACCAAATACTGTTTGCAAAGACGCTAGTAAAGCATAACTTTTGAGAAGTCTCTCTTGATGATTGGTGTGTGGCTTGGACAGAGGAGTGGTGTAACGTGAGACAGCAGTTACTCTTCAGTCTGAATAAGGAACTCGCAGAGGCTTTCTGAGGTAGCCATAAATGAGGAAAAATAACCCAAACAACATTAAAGTAGAAGCATAGCACCATGTTCCATAAAACAGGTTTCAGAGCACTGGTCTTCCCTTCTCTGTGTGCAAACTCCTGCCCTTGACACTTGATTTTTGTGGAATTCTGGCCATCTTGATTCATCCATCAAGCACGCACAAAACCGGTTAGAATTTATCCTTCTTCACAGCAGTGATACCTACTCTTCTTAGGTAACGAGAGTTATTTTTGTGCATTTTTGTTACAAGTTCTTCATGCACACCTGGCAGCGGCTGACCCTTGTTCGAAGCTGTCCTGCTTTCAGGGTTTCTGAGGGAGGGGCACTGACAAACTGCTGTGACTGTTCGACGGTCGTGAGCCAGAAGCTGTATTTGTTTGCAAAGTAATGGCACGTCCCTCTGGCACCGTTGCATTCAATGAACGGAGTAGCGCGGAAATCCTCCAGGCAAGAACCAGGTGAGACGAGGGACTGACCTCCACCTTCTGCACCAGCTGCTGTGTGCTAAATGAAGACGTTTATTTAAATGAGTTCAGAGGATCAGAAAAGGAGGTGAACAGGGCAGTAACTCAAGTTCTGTTGCTGAAAGGAGTAAAACGGGCGACCAACTTTATACCTTGGCTACCTGTAACTGGGTTTGGAGTCGGGGCTAGAGGTAAAGAAGCAAAGGAAGGTACTCAGGCTGAGCATACAGCCCTGCTATAAAGGAAATCAGCTTGTCACGGGAAAACTGGGAGACAATAATGCTGACTTAGTTTTCCAACAACCTCACACTGATGGGCTTCTAGGAGAGCACAATAAAATACTGTCCCAGTAGAGAGGGGATTAAGACAATGCTGTAGCTTAATTGGTGTTTCTGCATTGAAAGGTTTGAGGTACAAGTATCTGTGGCAATGCAGAACTACTGATTTAGTTTTACTACTGGACTTGAAGCTACAGGACAGCCCTGTATACAGTTTCCTACATGCAACTCAGAGAATTCGGTCTCAGTGACCGAATCTCAAAGAGGAGATCCAACCACGTTTAAAGCTGCATTTGCATTAGCAGTGGAATCCTTACCATGAGGAAGGAGTATCCTATCCAGAGGCTGCGCCAACCAAGGGGACACTGGGGGATGGTGATATCCTGGCTGTGCACGGCCACAGCCTGGGAGGGTGCTTCACAGACGGAGCAGCGGCTGATGTACTGGGGGATCTGCACGCTGTCCACTGGCATCATGGGGATGGGAGCAGTGGTGGAGAGCCAGTAGGACTTGTCATTGCGGCTGGCGTAGTAGCACACTTCGTTGATGTTGCAGTAAATAAAAGGCATGGTGCTGAAGCGAGGCAAACAGGAGCCGGCAAACCCTGGAAGAATTGGAGCAGCAGTCACACCCAGCAGCTGGCAAGTGTTCAAACTCATACACATCAGTGAGGAGTGGCAGAGCATGGCACAAATAACATTGCTTCCAGCACAGATTTTGGCCAAGAAGACTTCCTCCATCACAACTTCCAGCAGTACCCACTAAAATTGCTCATTAGAAATGGGATTTTGGCCTACATCGTTTGCCTGAGAGAAGATTGTCAACTCACCAAGATCCTGGTTGTGTGATTTTTCCTGCCCCTCCACGTACAGTAAGCTGTAGCCATCCCAGAGCTTGTTCATTCCTATGGGGCAAGGTGGGATTTGGTCTGACTGGCTGTGCTTCACTAAGGTGTACCCAACGCCCACGCTCCGACCTGGCATTCCTGGCAAACCAAGCGAGCCTGGCTTTCCAGCGACACCTGCAAGACAGAAGAAGAATCACTCACAGGCAATGTGAGCATCAGCTGGCTCTGTACCTGATTTTCGCATTGCTGTCCTAGTGTTTCTGTCAGCGTTGTACTAAGAAGAGGCCAAATTTTGATGGTTGTATGACCGACTAGATGCACCAGTTCTAAAAGCAGCCATTTCACAATAGCACCCACCCATTTCCTACCTCATTTCATGTTCTGTCTTTCCCCAAAAAGCTCTAGTACGTTAGCACATATCTCACGGTACAGTAATTCTGAAGATCTCAAAGCACTAACCAAAACCTAACAAATTCATTTTCACTCTAGTACTCTTCATGGTGATATTCTTTTGACATAGAAAGGCCAAAAGTCATACAAATCTGTGGCAGAATCCAAAGCTTCTCTCTCTCACAGCACCTCTTCCACCCAACCTTGATAGCTATGAATACCATCTTGCTCTTTCAAATCTTCAAGATGTCTCCTACATGCACAAAGCATTAAAACCAAAAGATGTTCACAATTGTACCTAGCTAAACTTCAGCAGTGGTAGACGACAATGACGTGTGACATAACCCTCCTCACTGAGAATTAAATCTATTTCATTGCAGATACAAGACAGAAGATCATGTACATCCCTCAGTCTTCCTAAGGTAATTCATTTGGTGTTGGAGAGGATTTCTTCAGAACCTGGGGGCAAACAGAATTCTACTGATTGCTTTTTTTTTGCCAAATCATATCATTACCTTCAAATCCCTGTGGTCCTGGGGTACCCACAGGGCCTGGATCCCCAACGGTGCCAGGCGATCCAGGTAAGCCGTCACGTCCTTTCAAACCAGATCTGCCTGGCAGACCTTTTGTACCTGAAATTAAACACAATTACTACTATCATTATTTCTTCATACTAACACCTTCAGTCCTACAACTACAATCACAAAAAGAGAAATAAGTTATAAACATGTTGTCAGCAGCCATGCTGAAAGCTCGCTCAAACAGCTGTAGTTACAACCCCCTAACTCCATACAGGGATTCCTCTGGGAAACAGATGGGTGTACATTTGAACAACTTCTGTAATGATAGAGCATTAAGGGTATAATTAGATTTCCCAATGAGTTCCTCTCTTTGCACTGCTCCACAGTGCCTAATCACCTTACCAACAGCATTAAAGGCTTTCTCAGATTTGACTCCCTGCACATTTAATTCACTCGAGGAACTGATGACAATAGTCAGGATCCAACACAGATCCATTCACTGTGGAGCATTTAGGGGAAGGACCGATGCTCACTGAGGTTCTCTGTCTAGGAGTTTTCATGAATAAAGGAGAATACGAACCTTTTAAAATTGGATAAATGGCAGCGTTAAGAAAAGCATCGCTGGCACTTGCTGAGCCCTAGGAGATTCCTGGTGCAGGACCCAGTAAAGCCATTTTGCCAAATGATACAAACTGCAATGGTGCTGGCTGAAGTTCCCAGCATCTCTCTGGTTACAGTATTTTGTTGACAATAGAAATAATTCTCAGTGGTGCTTCACTTTCAGGACGACTCCACCTGCTAGTACCAAAGCTGGCATCACACCAGCTATACCACATGCTGCTGCTCCTAATTCTGGAAGTTTAATTCAAAAACTCTATCAAAGTGCAGGAAAATAATTTATCAAGCACATCCTAATACTAATAAAACATGACAGTTGTATGTATTTTGCTGGAATTATTTCCATTACTAGAAAAACCTGTAAACCTTCCTAATGCATTGAGAAAGGAGTCTTGTTCTTCCAGAAGGCAGCATTTCAGTGATCTGAGTGTGTTTTTACCTGGTTTTCCAACCGGGCCTTGGAACCCAGGATCTCCATCAAAGCCAGGCACACCATCAATCCCTGGCAGACCAGGTAAGCCTGCAGGGGCTGTGATTTCTTCTGGCTGTGGGGTTATACCTGGAGCCCCCGGTCGGCCAGGGAGACCTGCACACAGTGTAAATGACAGTGTAAGTACTTCAGGAATAGGTTCACAGCTTTGATGATAATACTGAGACAAAGGAAACGTATTTTAAATTAAGGCTGCCTTAGTACATTAGCACTGGGTATCCTTCTGGAAAGTGATACATCAAGTTCTTTGTAATTTATTTCAATCCCTAAGAAACCAAGAAGCCCCCAAACAAGCCTATTTCGGGAGCTCTGAAATTTTCCCCAACCCAAAGCTTTTGCAACAAAGTACAGCATTTCAAATTCTCTGGCACTCACCTCGACGGCCCATTTCACCTTTCAGGCCAGGGTAACCAGGATCCCCTGGAGGCCCGTCTTTACCTGGCATCCCCATAAGTCCAGGCTCACCTCTTACACCTGCAAAGATACACAGCTGAAGACCTCAGAGGCTAAGCGTGGGGTCCTGATTCTGACCCACAGCTGAGGCAGTGAGGAACACAGTAACGGCAGCAATGAGAACACCATTTCAGCTCTGAGACAGAGGGGACCATGACCATTCAGGAGCTCTGTGCCCATTTTGATGCCCAAAATGGCTGCAGAGCTTCAAGACAAGAATTCCACTGCTACGTAATTACAATATATGGAAAGAACTCTTCTCCTTCCATGGGGTAACCCAGGGAAAGTGTTTGAGGAGGATATGCCCACTCTATTTGGAATTCACCTCCATGCACAGCACAGAGCAATGGGGAGTTGCCAGCCTGCACAGACAGACAGCATACCAGCTTCTCCTGGCAATGGTTCTCCATCCTTTCCTGCCTTTTGAGCTGTGCAGTCCCTTTGAAACCTTGCTATTAGAGACCTTGTTTGCAGCTGCCCTCTGGTTTCCTCTGGTAGAGACCAAAGGGAGAGCAACATCCCTTAACACCTACAATCCTCTCAGCCTCTTTGGGAGACCTAAATCCACCACACTGTGTCTCTAAGCACACACACATCGGTGTGATGGTCCTCTAGAAACGGCATCTCCAGTCTTTGCCTAGATAAGGGCAATGAAGCTGGTGAGGGGCCTGGAGAACAAGTCCTACGAGGAGCGGCTGAGGGAGCTGGGGTTGTTCAGCCTGGAGAAGAGGAGGCTCAGGGGCGACCTTATTGCTCTCTTCAGGTGCCTTAAAGGAGGCTGTAGCAAGGTGGGGGTTGGTCTGTTCTTCCACGTGCCTGGTGACAGGACGAGGGGGAATGGGCTAAAGTTGCGCCAGGGGAGTTTTAGGTTGGATATTAAGAAGAACTTCTTTACTGAGAGGGTTGTTAGACACTGGAACAGGCTGCCCAGGGAAGTGGTGGAGTCACCATGCCTGGAGGTCTTTAAAAGACGTTTAGATGTAGAGCTTAGGGATATGGTTTAGTGGGGACTGTTAGTGTTAGGTCAGAGGTTGGACTCGGTGATCTCGGAGGTCTCTTCCAACCTAGATGATTCTGTGATTCTGTAAGAGAATCACACACATGTGAATGGGTAGCTGTATCCAACAAACAGCACAATTGCATGTCGGCATCATCTACCCAGAAAACAAAACAAAACAAAACAAACAAACAACAACAAAAGAAAAACAGTAAGAAGATAAAAATAAATAAATCATGAGGGAGACACTGAATAGCACCTGGAGCTGGCCTTACTTTACTACTTTTACAACCAGTAGGTAAAACCTGCATGGACCAAAAGGAAAGAGGCAAACTCAGCTGAGCTCACACCTGAATGAGGATTTGTTTCAAAGCAGTCACACCACAATATAGCCATTCACTCTGTCAAGGTGACAGCCGCCAAACCACACCCAGACCCTTTTCAAAGCAAGATTACCTTTGAATCCAGACACTCCAGGGAGCCCGATTGGACCAGTGGGTCCCACGTCGCCCTTAATGCCTCGCAAGCCAAGCACACCAGGGAAACCTGGACTGCCTGTGTCACCTTGGTCAGAAGCTGGGCCAGGGGGCCCTCGTGGTCCTGGAGGACCTGGAAGACCTAGAGAGAACACAGGCAATTAGCACATTCTCCTCTTGGGGCAAAGTAAATGCTGTTGCTAACCCTAAGAAGTCATTGTAAAGGACAGTCGCTGTTTGTGTGTCTGTATTTCCAGGGTTGTCCTCCTCCCAAAGGAAAAGAACCAGGCCCTACTTGCTTACGTAAACATAGGTACCAGCAACCTTTAAACCTTTTAAATGTTTTTAGACAAGGCTGTTAGGTGATGAACGTGCACCAATGCCATCACGACAAATCTTTGGAACTGTACTTCCTGCTGACATTAGGACAAGTACTCCCTACGTACCTCTGAGTAGCAGTGAAGCTTTGCTGCCTCCCAGCTCACACAGAATACTTCTAAACTTCTCTAGGAGCTTATTAGGTTACAGCTCTCTAGGAGCTTGAAAGTTACATCTGTAGAAACCACGGTCTAATATGGAGCTGGCCTCCAAATGTAGACATAACGCATTGGAGCAAAGCATCTATCTTACTGCCTGAGCCTGTCTTCAGTATAACAATAGGTGAAATGAATATGGAGCAGGGAGCTTTAATAATGGGCTACATCAAATCCAGATTCAACAGCAGGAATTGAAACAGATCTAAAAAACCCCGATCTAAAAAAACAGATGATTAAGGTGACACTACTCGAAGTCATTTATATCCCCCAAAACCCAGAGTTCTTCAAAGGAAGCATAAAGAAACAGAAATCCTCTTAGCAGTTCACTCTCCATACCTGAACTCCCATCAAGTCCTGGGTGGCCAGCATCCCCAGGCCTCCCACGTATATCAGAAGGAAGAGAAACTCCAGGACTTCCTGGCAAGCCTGGCAGTCCCACAGGACCCGGGGGACCTAGAACAAGAAATACAAAGTGTGAGAGCACTTGCCCAGCTCTTCCATCACCTTCACTGACATGGTCAGAAGCAGTGGCTGAGCAGTATTCATACTGAGGAGAACAAACAGACACCTCACTACCTGTGGGAAACAAAATACAATATACTTCTGTTCAGGGGAGGTACAGACACTGTAATAACCATGTAACCAACTGTTTCTCAACTATATGGCCACATCACAGATTGAATATTTACCTGTCAAACTACTGCCTTTTTCTGTGACCTTAGGAGTTCTCTTTGGTAATTCCTCAAACTGTGCAGGCCCACTAACCTGAGCTGCAACACATTTCAACAGACTTCCAGAACATCAGTGTTTACCCATGTCTCCTGATGAGCCTTTTGGTCCCGGAAATCCTAGAGCACCTCTACCCAAGCCTGGAGAACCTTCTTCACCCTTCACACCCGGGAGACCTGCAGGGCCTTTCAGTCCAACTTCACTCAGACCTAATTAAAGATAGTTAAAGAAAGTAAGAGAGCTTATTCAAACCATTCACTAGCAGTTAAATCATTACACGAGCAGACTTGCAATAAAAAATTAACCATTTACCACCCTCTTTGCTGTTTTCAGTAGAGCAGCAGAAAGAGGTCTGGTGCCTCCTGTGCTACTCTGTGCAGAGTGAATTTAATCTGCAAGGTGCTGAGAGAGAAGCACGGTACTGTTCTGGACTTCCCACGGGCTTTTGCATAAGGATGTGAAGAAGAATTTGCTCATGCTTCTTAAAAGGAGAATTTGCTCATGTACATACAATATCCCGATATTTTTTCTTCATACTATGATTACATCCAGAACAGGGCAAAAAGGAGCAATTTTGTGAGGAACGTTGCTCTCGTGATAGACCAATGTAGGCATTTTCCCAGCTATGATGCTTCTACTACGTGTTTCCTTTACCTGGTGTTCCAGGAGACCCTTTTGTGCCTGGCAAGCCATTCAGACCATTTAAACCTGGAAATCCATGAAACCCTGAAGAGACATTAAGAACACTTATGTAAGCGAGCAAATAAGCAAATAATTTAGTTAGGTAGAAATGCATAGATGCTTCATGGAGACTACAACAGGTGTGAGAAACATGACACAGAGGAACACAGAATGTAAAGCCTCCCTTCACACAGGCCCCCTTCATGGAAACTCTTCCCACTGCTCTCTGTTTTTACCCTCAGTGAACCCCATCAGAGATCCAAATCCAGTGAAAGCCTCTCCCTTTCTGAACACTCCTCTGCTCATTTCTAGCAGCTGGTGCCTGCACTAGCATTGCCAAGAATTGAGCTGATTTCCCACGCACAGCTGGCCCACACATAGTGTGCTGCCTGCCTGCTGTGATACACTTGGATGAAACCCTGGTTTTCTGACCCAATATCTGCCCCATGTGTGCAGGCTCCAGACATACCTTTGGGTCCTGCTGTTCCACGAGCCCCAGGGAATCCGACAGATCCCGGCTGCCCTGGAGGCCCTGGTGGCCCAGGGATTCCTCTCAGCCCAGCATTTCCAGGAATTCCTAAAAACAAGCAGCAAAATGTTCTTGCATCACACATTCAGGCCAAATCAGCTCACAACTCCATAGTACAGCTTCTGATCCTGCACTTAACTCATAAGATGGGTGAATAAAATATTTATGTAAAGAAAAACCAGGTGCAAATCTCTTTTCACCACCACTACTAGCATAGCATTTATCCAACTATTTATTTGATAGTTGCCTTTTTTTTTTTATAAATCAGAAATTCCATTCTTAATCACCCACCAAGTGACAAACTGGAATAGTATGCACACTGAATAACTAAATTGGTTACATGAGTTTTCAAGTAAAATATTCCAACAACTTCCACTGTTCTTTCAAATTGAAATCTTGACAGCAATGTGAGAGCATACCTGCTAGTTACACCACTAACCAAAGACACTTTTAGCCATCCTTCTGGGTAGGTTTGAGTCTGGAGAGGGAACGGACTCAAGTGTTGCAATGGAAGACTTTAAACAAGACTTTCTTGTTTAAGCCTCAGCTGAGACAGGCCAACCAGGGCTAAGGAAACAATAAGGTGAGGTTGTTGCAGTCGCGCAACGAACTGCAGAAACTGGGTGCCTTGTCCAGTACCTGCTGGTCCTTCTTGGCCAACATCTCCTGGGCCACCTTTGAGCCCATTCACTCCAGTGCTTCCTGGAAAGCCAGCTTCACCCTTGAGCCCTTCTCTACCTCTCTCCCCTGAAATGATAAAAGCATCCAACACAAGTTAAACTGGAGGTAGGCCTGAAGAGAAAGAGAAACATGTTAGACTGCCGCTGCAGCATTTGTGTCTGCTCAGCCATTGCCTGGGCTCTGGACCAGACTCCCTGGATGGCAAACACCAGCCCAAGTTCCCAAGTTCCTACTCAGGAAGTGAAGTGGGACCCAGCATTAGAATCGGGCTGCTTTTTTTTTTTTTTTTTTTTTTTTTTTTTTTATTATTCATCATCATCCATTTGTGGCCCACTTGGATTAAGCTCCTCAAATCTCATTTAGAGGACAAGACTGAAGTATTTAGATTTACAGATCACATACAGTCCCACACTGGGCAATATTATCCAATTTAATTTCCAGAATTTTGTACTCTTGAAGTGAACCATCAATGGCTACTGTACCTGGGAAGCCCGGGTCCCCTCGCTCTCCTTTCACTCCAGCACTGCCAGGAACGCCAAGAGGCTCTCCCTGGTCACCTGGAAAAGGAAGACGAGGTGAGGAAGCCATTCTGTAACTGACTGTGGGGAGCAGCTCTCAGTGCTGTTCAATAGCCATATTTATGAAAATAAACCTTGCTTATATTGCAAATTCAGGAGGTAGACAAAGACAACAGTAAACAATGTCCCCGAGGTGTTTGAAAATGTTTATAAACAGCAATGGAAGTGAATACACTCAGGGCATGTTCAGACTAACATTTAGGGCAATTTCACAACACCCTACCCTTTATGTCACAAGCTGATCAGAGAGGGTGCCTCTTGTACTGTCCAACATGCTTTGTACAGTGCTGTGGCCAAGATTTCAAAGGATCATAAAGTTTTAATACATTTGGCTTGGAACTGAACTCATCTGAATGAGTGACATCATAGGGGGACTTCTGAACCAGTCACTGGAGAGCGACTGACACTTCTAGAACACTGCCCATTCATTTTAGCCATGAATCTTAGGACTGCATGTACTGAAAGACCACGTAAACTGAAATTTCTTACCCTTTGGACCAGGGAGGCCAATAGGTCCTGGGAATCCAAGTGGTCCTGTGATACCATCTGAACCCTGAAATAAAAGCCCAAAATTAGCCTCTGCTTTTTATTCTTGCTGTTTCAACTTTGGGTCATGGGGTTAACAGACTGCAAAGATGTGGGAAGAGATGTTATCCAAAGTGTCATCCATTAGTACAAGCCAAACAAATACCAAGTTTTGTGAAGAAAAATCCTGCCAGCTTCTGGACAGCTGCTTTGCTAAATAAGTACCAATTAGAACAAAGGATTTTCCCAAGAGCTCTTTGAGAAAATGAAGATACTTAAGAAGATATTTACCCTCTCTCCTGGCATTCCTGGAAATCCTATGATGCCACGTGCACCCTTCTGTCCTGGCAGCCCAGGCTGTCCAGATGGACCTGGGAAGCCTGGCTCACCATGAAAACCTCTCTCTCTGCTTGCTGACCCAGCAGGTCCAGGAAGACCTGGCTGTCCACGGCTTCCTGGGATTCCTTTATCACCTGAGTTTATATAAAAGAGTATAAATCCATTTCAAAATACAGACATTCAGCTTATTTAGCCAACTGAGCTGTTACCCAAAGCTCTCCTTAGAGGGCAGAAAGGGATGAGATAAGATCTGCAGAACAGAGCCTCAAAGGAAAACTGTTTTCTCAAAATTCAAAGCTGCCATATGCAAATCTTGCTGAAATGTGAATGGCAGAACAGAAGATAGCAATGCTGCAGACTCTGTCAAAAGGGGAGGCCATGATCCCCCAGGAGTAAGCACAGTTTCCGAAGAACTCATACTGGTAACTAGTGACAATGTTGTGACATACCTCTAGGTCCTGGGAATCCTCCAAGTCCAGCTAATCCAGGATCTCCTTTGTCTCCTTTGAATTGCAGTGCCTGTTGTGGAGGCCCAAGAACAGGAAGACCAGGTGGACCTACATCGCCTCTGTCACCTGAAGAAACACAAAATCAGATTATTCTGCAATAAGATTGCCTAGCAGAGCAAGGTGTATAACATTAGAAAGTGGCAGACAGTAACAGAACTTCAATTCCACCTTTGGCAACCAGACCGAAGAATTTCACAAGAACATAACACGGCATCCAGAAGAAAACATTAAATATGTGCAGACATCTCCAAGAGGCCTCCAAAGTCCCTCTGCTGCACAGCCAGCAGAGTCTTTTAACTGTTTCTCACCTTTTTGACCTTGCAGTCCCAGAACTCCAGGGCTTCCGATTCCTCCAGCTGCGCCAGGAGCTCCTTTAAACCCATTGACCCCAGGGACACCAGGCAGGCCTGGCATGCCAGGGAAACCAAGCAGGCCAGAAGATCCCTTCTCACCTGTATAGAAAAGTTGAGAAATAGAGAAAATTAGTCTCTCCTGGTACACTGCATACCCAACTAGCTGGCAGGTGGAAGCAGGATGGGTCTGGCCAGTAAAACGTGATGATGTAAGCACAGTGGGGCCACTTCTCTCATGGGTCTCCACTCATGATACTTCTCAGTTTGGCTTCAAGAGCTTCACCTTGCTTCCACTGGAAGGCAAAACCCCATAAATTTCCAAGAGAGCAACCTGCAGTAACATACCTGTATTTCCCTCCCCCTAAAATAACACTTGGTTAATAACCAGTGACTGTATTTGTGCTTAGTGGCCATACAGATGGTAAAGTTTTACTTCCCATTGGGATTGTGCTTCATGTGTACCCTCCTATGATATTTCCCTTACTTCATGATTTCATTCACTGTTCCTCATTTCTTCAATTATCTTGTCTTTCTTACATGATTCTTTGTCCTTAGGGGCTCACATCCTTAAGCTGGACCTCCTCGTGACTATAATTTGATAATTAAATCCATCATACATAATTCACAACTCAGCAGAAAAACAAATGCATTCCAACACCAGTTGAGAAATCATTTTCTTCTGATGAGGATGGCTTAAAATCAATGCTAACAAGGTTATTTTTTGTTGGGCACAGCAATCTCAGCCTGCCCCCTGATGGAACACATACCTTTTGGCCCAGAGAAACCTGGACGTCCATCGTGACCAAAAGGCCCAGGTGGCCCCAAGAATCCTCTTTCCCCAGGAGATCCTGGAGCACCGTCAAGACCTGGGAAGCCTTTCATTCCGGCAGGGCCTTGAGGACCTACATCCCCAGCCAATCCTTTGACTCCAGGAAGTCCTGAATCAATACAAGAAAGAACTCAATAGATTATGTCACACAAACACCGAGGCGCTTTAGTGGACAGCTTTCCAAACTCTTTAAACATGGCATTGTTCTAATATGACAAATGGACCTTAAGGCACATGCAGCCTACTAGAAGGCATAAAGTTTAGAACTGCAAAAGCATTAGTCATCTAATAATAAAATACCTACGAAGAGGGTTACTGCCTACATCACTACACCACTGGCAAGAGTGAAACCCCTTATGATGTATACATTTTTGTCTCCTTTACCAGATACTAAAGTATAGAGCATCAGTCTTACCTTTACCATCAAGGCAGCCAAACCAGGATGGGGAGCATCATTAATGCCAGCTTCTGCTACCTACCCCATCCTTTGGGTGAACCAGAGATCAATTGGAGAGGTTTTTTGTTGTTGTTGTTGTTTTGTTTTGTTTTCAAGTTTTTTTTTTCTACCTTGGTAGTTAAAGAGTTACTTCTCAAAAGCAAGTTGCTTGCTAAGGGAACAAGCTTCTGATTGTGTTGTCATAAAACCAACACCGTATACACTCAGCTTTGCCTCTGTTTCAGAACGTTTCTATCTGAAGCTTTGTAATGGTTTACAACTTTAAACAAAGGCTGAAACCATTGAAAACAGAATGCTTAGATCCAAAGTAAGGAAGAGAAGAAAAAATCAAGTGATTCTGAAAAACGGCATTTGCAGCAGTCGCACCCAGTATATGAGCTTCATTGTACCCAGGACAAATATTTTAAGTTACAACTCATTTTTTTTGTTTGTTTGTTTGTTTTTAGCAGAAGAAAATGGCTACTTTATTTAAAAAGACGAAGAAAATGCACACTTAAACTTTGTGCATATTAAGGATTTCCTTATAAGTTTCAGGCTTTGTTACCATCTGAGCATTCTCACTGCAATGGTTCTGGCCTTCTGGCTTGATAAGGGGTATCACCTATAGTCAATGCAATTCTTGTAGCATTAAAAGCTAGGTTGTTAGTCCATGAGCTTTTATGCTACACTGCATTTTCTCACCTTGACAGCCTATGTGAAGAACCCATAACCAAACAGTGTGACATCAGAAATGGGGAGTTGATGATAAATGGAAAAGAAACATGGTGAAGGAAAAAACAGATACAATACGTGAACAGAAAGAACAAGGATAAAAAGAAATTAGTGATTCAGAGAATACAGCTGAAATATCTTAGTCATTTGGAGTTTATCATCCTAACAATGGAAGGTTTTTAAAAACAGTTGAAGGAAACAGTCATATATGGCATACAGTCCATAAAAGTAAAATAATAGGGAAGTGAAAGTCATGTTAGCATTCAAAAAAAAAACCACTTCAACACCATAATTTTCATCTAGAATGACGTTAGTGCTTTCATTCATTTGTTGCCACCATGTTCCAGCACCATCACTGTGCATGTCGGAACAGAATTACATCACAGACGATTATCTACTGATTCCCAGGGGCCTCTTTGCTTGATTCTTAAGTCTTACATTTACTGTTATCATGAAACTCTCTAGACAGTGCAGCCTGAGAGATACTGTTGTACTCGAGTATATTTTCCCTGTAATGTGAATGGAAATAAATTTATTTTCTGCCCTCAGTGTAGAAGATATAAGTGCTTCTTCTAACAAAGCTAACAATTTTCCAATCTATCAAAATCATGTCTCAAACAACCTCAAACATTAGAAATTAATCATCATTAAAATGGGAAATGAAGATACAGCTAGACTGTAAATGCAGAGCTGTTAAAAATATCAAGATACTTTCTCCTATCTTTCTGCTGTATTTCTTACAGCTTTGGGGCACCATTTCTAGGCAGGAAGATTCCAGCATTCAGAGGCAAAAGACTCAAATTCTGCACTCAGTTACCCCTGAGCAGGGGTAGGAGCTCACTCCCAACAAATGCCATGCCTCTCCCACACTTCCTCAACACTGCAACGCTCAGCTACTCGTCTTCATTTGAAGACGTTACGTACCTGGAGCTCCTGCCAGGCCAACCGATCCCAACGGTCCTGGTTTTCCCTTAATGCCAAAAGGACCTCCAGGGCCAGGAGGTCCTCGCAATCCAGGGACACCGGAATAGCCTGGATTACCCAGTTCACCTTTAATACCTAGGAGGCCTGGTCTCCCATCCAGCCCTGGGAACAGAGAGATGGGAGGTTACAGAACAAATAAAACAAAATGAAAAAATGAGTTGTAATATTCAATAATAATTCAATGAAAAAGTGAGTTGTAATAAAACTCTGTAAATTGCATTAGATTCTAATAGAAAACCACCAAATCCCCACCTGCAGGCAGCTTAGAAGATTGCTGACAGAGTATCTTGAAGAGATGGTAAAGAGGAAAGATTTTTGAAGGAAACCATTTGATATTCCCAGATACAAGCAGCAACAGGGCTCACCTTTTGGTCCTGGAAATCCAATATCACCTGCAAACCCTTTATCACCCGGGAGTCCAGGTCGGCCACGCTCTCCCTGGGCTCCACTCTCAGCACCAAACACATCTCCAGGAGCTCCTTTAGCTCCAGCTAAGCCTGAAGGACCCATCTTCCCAGGCAAACCATCTGTCCCATCCAGTCCTGGAAGTCCTTGGGACCCTTGCTCTCCTCGAGGTCCAGGGAAGCCTTGAAGAGAAATACAGGAAATGTCAGACAGCAGAAGTACAGGCTATCCACTCCCAATACCACATCTAACCAAATCAACATTTAAGGAAAGTTCAAGCAAAAAAAGGCTGTTTGGAAAGCTGCAGAGTGTTTCGGTACCGAATTACGAACTATGACTGGCGAGAAAATGTGATGAAAATGATAAAAACAATTGAAATATCCTTTCAATTTTTCTTTAAAGAATACTTTAGGAATATCTTGGAGCTGCAGCTACAAGCCTTACATTTACAGGCTTGGTTTCACTAGATGGCAGATTAGGCAAAAAGAACAAAAAAGGATGAAGATGACTACTTCAGGCAACAGACAGGCAGTATCTCACTACCACCACCATCCACAAAAGCTGCAAAGATGTTTTTGCAGCTTACTTTGTCCTCTACATTGGACAACCTCTGGCACTATGGGACAGAAGACGCTGACAGCCCTGGCACAAGGAGGACTGCAAAGTACTCTCCCTTTGTCAAGCAGACGCTAAGTAGCATTGCTGTGTGAATGTTTTCTGCTGCTCAGCAGTTGTATCACAAAATCAGTGACTCTGTAAAATTGTCATCCCCACTTAATGCATTGAAATGATAAAGAGATTTCTGCAGCCATATCTACAGAGAAATATGATCGATATCAACCTAGCTTAAAGAGTCTTCCCTCACCACCCCCTCTTGCTCTTTATTTACTACAACCATTAGAAATTCCCACAGCTAAAAGAAACCCAAGCATAGTATACAGACTTTTACTAGAATAACACATGGCTTAAAACAGGTAAGTGGGTTTTAAAATACTTTGCAGTTTCTAAACAGTTACAAAGCATGTGATGATAGTCTCTGAAGAAACGAATTGTGTTGGTTATCCTAATTAATTCCAGCACCAGTATAATACTAAAGGCAGGTAACAAGTATAATGAACATTTCTTCTTCCCTTTTTTTTTTTTTTTTCTCCGAAGCTGCAACCATTTGGTTGCAGAGATTGAATTTGGAAGGAGCACAGAGGAGCTCACAATGGAGAGATATGAATGTAACAGGTGGAAATGTGGTCTAGATGGTAAGACAACTCTTTTGATAAAATATTGTATACATTAATCAGATAACAAAAACTCTTACCAGGTTCCCCTTGCAAGCCAATTATTCCTGGAGACCCTGGCTGTCCTTTTGACCCATGTAATCCAGGTTGCCCTGGAATGCCAGGAAAGCCTTTGCTGCCTTTGGGACCTGAAGATTAAAATATTAATGAATGAATACCAGAAGAAAAAAGTATAGCACCAGAAAACAGGATCAGATCTTTTCTGCAAAGCTTGAAACACTCACTGGATGCACAATTTAAGCTAAATAGCTTCACAGAACCATGGCTGTTACATCAGCTATGTAAACACAGAAGACGAGGTTCAGAGGCTACTTGAAAGGGGAAAAAACAGTGGAGTCATTACGATCCCCCACAGGATTTAAACCCAGCCCCTTTATAGAATTAAGAATATTATGCTGTCAGTTAACTCTCTGGAATAACTATCACTCATAGGGTGTTAATTAGCAGGTATTATCTTCAGTAGGGACTAGGTGCTTCTTGGTAGTCAGCCCGTGCATGAGGACCAGCTTGTCTCCATACCTGGCAATCCTGGGAAGCCGGGAATCCCAGGGGGCCCATACGCTCCAGGGACTATGCAGGGCAAGGTGATACCTAAAAGAAAAAAACACTGACTTTGCACACAGACCTCTTCAGAGACTTCTAACTACTCAGGGGCTGCTCGTAGACATCAGCTCCAGCACAAAGAAACGAGCAAGGCTCCTCTGCAGTGTGGGATGTGCAGGGAGCGAGAGGGAAGACAACCTCATGGTGTCTGACCTGCTCACGTATTGAGATACTATGTGAATGTTGAAGGAAACTTCAGGGCATTTCCTACTTTGACATGAGAGGATCAAAGGTTAGTTCTCAATTCACTGCTGTTACCTTGATTTAAGGCATCCAGCGACACCAAAACTCATTTAGAAATGATTACATTCATGATAAAATATCTACACAGAGCTGTAATAACACTTCCATTCTTACACAAAGCCAAACTGCTCTATTTTCATCTGAGACCGCAGTTCCTCTTCATAGTCAGCACTAGCTTTAAGGACAGAGATTCAAAACTGGAATATCCAATTTATGCTGAGAATGGATCCAGGCACCTAATGCCACGATTGTGAGATGTAATACACACTTTGCTGCCTGCACTTGGGTAAGTTTTGAGAAAATATTTGTTTGACAAAGTACAAGTTAAAATAGTAGTAACACAAAATAAAAAATCCAGCTTTGCTCTTCTGCAGTCCTGTGTGAGCCTAATGTGGAATGTTTTATAAAGTAAAAAGTTGAGGTCCATCTCTGAGACATTTCCTTCTCAGACGCAATATAGTAAAAATGACATTTTCAAGCAGCAGGGCAGTAACTGGCAAGGAAAGGGAAGCTGAATTAATTCTGTTGTATTCACATCACATGGCTTTAAGGAGTGTCTTATGTGAGTTTTCCAAAAACAACCCTGTACAATAGCATATTCTGTGCTTTATGTTATTAGCCACAAGCAGAATGGTTGGACAATGGTTACTTCATGTAAGGATAACTGAAAAGGAAATAGGGCTGTTTCCTCATATGTTTTGCAAAATCGTGTAAGCAAGGCTTAGTGTACAAGTTATATAAGCAAAACTGTTCCCAGCTAATTAATACCCTACAGAATCACAGTTTACAGAATAATATCCCAATATCAAGGAAATTAATTACAAAACCATCATGTCAGGCATAAAAGCAAATACAGACAATTCCAACATTTTTGAGTAATTATCTTATGCTGGATAAAATCAGTCTAATTTTATAAATACTGAGCTAGACTTTTCCAAAGGCAAGACTGTTTCACCCTGATTTACTGCAAAATTCCTCAGTGGTGTCTTTGACGTGGTAACTTCAGTATCTCACAGTCTCTTTTTAGATGTCTTTCCTCATTTTCATGATAGGGCCTTTCAGTCTGGGTAGTATGAGCTGGATTATTTCTTCCACCCACACACATTTTTTTAATATTAGATGAAACTTACTATATCAAAGGGTCTTTTAATGCTTTCCTAGTATTTAGGGCATGATGTATTCACAAGTTTTCTTACACATTTCCACGGGGATGCAAACTGAACTGGCTGAAGACTTTTTCACACTTTTCTGTATTTTGACTAGAGATAATTTCCACAAAAGACCATTCACTTTTAGCAAAGCTTTGATGCAGCATTCATAATAAGCTGACTTCTGATGTGCTGCACAGAATATCTAGAGTTCACATCATGCACAGAGCAGTTTACTTTTACTTATCTTACAATTCAATTTTAATTCAGTGGATTTTGTAAGAGACAATTTACCAAAGACATAAGCATTCATAGTTATGAATTAATAAAGCTTTCGCCATTTAACGTGTCATTTGGCTAAGAAAAAAAGCTTATGTAGACTGTTCCAGGAGGACACTAATGCCAGCTCTCTCCTCACCCCACAACAACTGCACAGCATGACACACGTCAGGTAACGTGCCATCCAGCATGTCTGTGCAGCCTTCCCATTGCTATTCTGGCCTACCTCTCACCTCTCTCCGGGTTTAATATTCCTCTGTGAAGTTCCTCAAGGTGCAGTGGTCTTATCACCAAGATTTTTGAACTCAGAACAACAGTTTATCAGTTCAGAAACATATGCAACCACATCATCTGCAAATATATTGTTAATGCTGTATTATTGATGCTTACAGAATTACAAAAGTAGAAGCTGAAGTATGTAAAATCCTCATGTAATACCTACTCTGTAAAAATCTAGAGCTCTTTTTATTTCAGTAACAGTTCTGAAAACTGATTCAGAAGTCCCAGATATCAGCGAGTTACCATTATTACCTAGACAATGAAGTAGGCTGTGCTTTTTAAAAATTTCATTTTAACTGTCTTCCTAATTACCTTTGGTGTAAAATGGCTCTCCAGCAACAGTCAGTGAGTAGGCTCCATCCAAAACAATTAGTGTTTGAGTATTCAGCTCAGATACTTGCTGCTTATTATCTGTGTCCTCCTAAGCATGACAACTTGAGAAAGCAGTGACTGGTATGAGAGGTCTAGTGAGCCCACAGAGCAGTTTTAATTAATTTAAAGAGCTATCTTTAACCTAATGCCATCTTCTTGCCTGGTACAAGAACAGCAGTAGGTTTAGTGCCACTTAACTTGCAGCAGCTTTGCACCTTTTCAAAGTGAGAGCAGATCCAGCAAAACCTACCCGGGGGTCCTGGAAGACCTGCTTGTCCTGGAAGGCCATCCAGCCCTGGGTCACCTGGCGGCCCACGAACTCCACTGGGACCTGGATATCCAACGCCAGGAGAACCAGCCTCTCCGTGATGGCCCTTGGTGCCAGGTAATCCTGGCAGTCCTTTTTCACCTGGGAATCCCAGCGCACCATCCCCCTGTGCACAGCAAAGACAATTACAGCTGAAAATCCAAGAGATGTGGAAAGAACACACATCATTGTTACTTTAATATCTTTAGTGCACCCTCAGTAAGTTTGCAGATGACACCAAGCTATGCGCATGTGTCGATCTGCTCGAGGGTAGGAAGGCTCTGCAGGAGGATCTGGATAGGCTGCACCGATGGGCTGAGGTCAACTGCATGAAGTTCAACAAGGCCAAGTGCCGGGTCCTGCACCTGGGGCGCAATAACCCCAAGCAGAGCTACAGGCTGGGAGATGAGTGGTTGGAGAGCTGCCAGGCAGAGAAGGACCTGGGAGTGATGGTGGACAGTCGGCTGAATATGAGCCAGCAGTGTGCTCAGGTGGCCAAGAAGGCCAACAGCATCCTGGCTTGTATCAGAAACAGCGTGACCAGCAGGGCTAGGGAGGTGATCGTCCCCCTGTACTCGGCTCTGGTGAGGCCGCACCTCGAGTACTGTGTTCAGTTTTGGGCCCCTCGCTACAAGAAGGACATCGAGGTGCTTGAGCGGGTCCAGAGAAGGGCAACGAAGCTGGTGAGGGGCCTGGAGAACAAGCCCTGCGAGGAGCAGTTGAGGGAGCTGGGCTTGTTCAGCCTGGAGAAGAGGAGGCTCAGGGGCGACCTTATCGCTCTCTGCAGGTACCTCAAAGGAGGCTGTAGCGAGGTGGGGGTTGGCCTGTTCTCCCACGTGCCTGGTGACAGGACGAGGGGGAATGGGCTAAAGTTGTGCCAGGGGAGTTTTAGGTTAGATGTTAGGAAGAACTTCTTTACTGAAAGGGTTGTTAGGCACTGGAACAGGCTGCCCAGGGAGGTGTTGGAGTCAACATCCCTGGAAGTCTTCAAAAGACGTTTAGATGTAGAGCTTAGGGATATGGTTTAGTGGGGACTGTTAGTGTTAGGTCAGAGGTTGGACTCGGTGATCTCGGAGGTCTCTTCCAACCTAGAAATTCTGTGATTCTGTGTGATTTTAGCAAACGCATAAAAGTTTGGTCAGCTCTGTGCAAGTTTCAAATGCACCTGGGGAGGTACAAGAAAACCACTGTAAATCATCCACCATTATTTCAAGGTGCAGGAAAACTCAGATACTATTAGAAAATATTTTTTTTATGTTGTGTTTGCCAAAACATTAAGTATTACATATTCTGAAAGATTAGTTTCTGTGTTATTTCAATTAATTAAAAAGATTCTGGTGTGATTTTTCTATTCCAGGATTTGACTCGTGCTGACAGTGTCTTATCTATCAGGACACAACGTAAAACTGAATTAGGCCTCCCCCACTATAGGAACTTTATCGTTTGTCTGGGCAGCCAGAGGCATTGGCCAGTGCCAATTATTAATCTTAATCAAGACAAATCTGTGCTCAAGAATGAGCTTTTTATAATGTATTTGGAGATTTACCACACAGATCATCAGGGCTAGTAAACCAGGCCTTTCTGATCTCTCTGCTCATTATTGCAATCCTAAAGCACTACTGCTAAATTAATCTGAACTTACTGGAGGGCCTGGCGGGCCTGGCAGACCTGGAAGTCCATCCCTGCCAGGAGTTCCTGGGATGCCTGAAGGTCCTCTGGGCGCCGTCGCACCACGATCCCCACGAGCACCTCTGCCTGTTGCATAGGATGAATCTCCTTTTTCTCCCTTAAGGCCTGGAAGACCTTGCTGGCCAGCTGAAGCCTACAGAGCAAAAGATTAGAAAAACAAAACTGCCACCACCATCAAAAAAAAACAAACAATCAGGCATACGAACATGCATAGAAAAGCCCTTGCTTTTTAAAAATGTCATATGAGGTCAGGACACAATGACTGGAGCTAGAAAGAAGCTCTGAAGGGTTTCCTATTGTATACGTTATGGGGAAAAAAAAAAAAAAAAGTTTGAGTATTTCCAAATGTTTCAGTTAAGTCACTACAATTTTACAGTGGCAAGCCAAACCTGGGTTTATAGCACTGGGGTGATCCACCAGTCTTGGATGGCATCTGGGAACACTGTATCAGTCATGATTTAACAGAGCCCAAGTATTGGAGTATTGAGTATTTATTATTACACCCTATTACTTCGTGTGCTGCATTCACCAATGTTGATGAAGACACTCAGAAGTCATTTAGTGTGCTTAGACTGCACCTGAGGCAGACAGCTTTTATAGCTATGTGCAAGGATGTGGACAGAGCTCATCATTCGATTTCAGGTCTTCTCTCCATACAGAAGCATATCTGCTTCCACAGGTGGCCCTCACTTAGAGAGAACCCTAGGTCTAATCTCTGTGTCCCAAGAGGCCCTGGGATATAATAATTGTTACTGCTTTTACCTGTGACTGCTAAATTGCAGTTCTCAGACCTTAAGAACCATTTCTTCCCCCATTTTTACATGATAATTTCTCTACTTTCTGATTCTTTTTACAGATCAGTTTCCGGGTTTATTTTTTGTCCAAACAAGTAGAAGAAATTATGCAAAAAATATGTTCTGGTTTCAATGCGATAAACACCAGGAATTGCACAGGGCCACTTTTTATCCTGTAATTCACGACAACCAATACAAACTCTTCCTTGTCTTACCAGAGGGCCTCGCAGTCCTGGTGCGCCCACAGTGCCTGGGTCTCCACTAATGCCCTTGATCCCAGGCACACCAGGGATTCCCGTTGGACCTTGTGGACCTGAGATGCCTTTTACACCAGGTCTCATAACTCCTCCATCACAAGCACAATCACCTGCCTCTCCTGGAAAATACAGTCAACACCCCAAAGTCAGTTTCATTCAGATAAAGACCCTTTTATGGTTTCAAGAGCTCCAGAAGCAATATTGGGACCAAACCATCATGATATGATGTTGTGCCTACTCTGCTCAGGCAATGAGAGTGTCAAGCCAGGGGAAGCTTTGTCCCTGTTAATTTCTGTACAACGCCCACCATCAAATTACCACGTGCAGCATGAACCTCAGCATTATCTGGTACATCATGCTTATTTCCTTGACCTCTTGCCAAAGGTTTCAGTTCTCCAAAGCAGATGATTTTAAGGAGAATTTTAGGACAGAAGTCTTGTGGATCTTCAGGGACGATTGTGTGTCAGGGAAAGCAAATCTGTACTCCCACTCACAGGAGGTCACAATGACCCTCAGCTGGATATCTTTATATTTTCTGGAATTGTAACTGGGCGCAAATCCAAACCACCACAACGCACAGTGATGTTCGCATCATCCCACGTTAGTGTTCCATTACACACTAAACCCCAAATTCTCATCATTTTTAGGACAGAGGAGAATAAGATTATGTTTCTCTGTCATTTCCAGCCTATGTTAATTACAAAAGCAGAACACAGGGCTTTATTTCTAAGTCTTATTACATCTTATGGCTTTAAAGCACAACTTGTTTAGCTAATTGGGTATGAGGTGTTTATCTGCTCAGTTACCTGAGAAGAGTAGGAAGTAGAAAATAGGATTTTAGTGGCAGTGCTGGGCACTACTCTCTCTAAAACGTAAAGGCTGCTGCTCTTTTTATCCATGTCCAAGCTTCCCTGATATGTCATAAAGACATTTCCACCTCATCCCTTAGGTTATTAATCACATGGAAGTGAGATCATTTGATTGTTGAAAGGTTCTTCCAAAAAAGAGCCAATTACCTTTGAAACCCTTTGGACCCAAAGCTCCTGGAAGCCCTCTCTGTCCAGGCTCCCCAGGGGCCCCAGTCCTTCCATCCAGGATTGCGCCCGGGAGGAATGAAGGGCCTACATGTGGAAAAAAAGCAAGCAAAAGCCCTGAGAAGGCTGTATTTCCAGCTCATTAATTACTTATAATGGCAGGGATGCAATTGACAGAATGGCACTGGATCAAGCAACTGTCTAAGTTACACAAAAAGATGAACTTAATACCATGGGCTACAATCCTCTGCTACATGTTTGCCTTTAGCTTCCCATACAGAAGAGCAGAAGATCTTACAAAGTAGATGCAGCAGAGTTTTATTCCTCTGCTGCTCTACTATTGCAATTTTTCAAAGGCTTAATAGCTGGCCAAAGAACCAACCCAACTGCAAACAGATTGTATAGAGAAGCACAAATGAATTTGTTCATGGCCTGTCCCCACTGCAGCGTTATGCAGAGGATCAGATGTGCCCTCACAGCTCTGGGAGAGGCTGACACTTGCATGCTGGGACTCGTGTACAGAAGTTGAAGGAGGAACTAACCAATGTGGTGGTGATTGTGGTGACTGGCTACTGCCTTTTTGTTGGTGCAGAAGTCATTGCGTATGAGCAACGTCTCTGCTACTGCTGGCATGGTAGAGTCATTCCCAGGGCTACCTGCCTTCTGCAGAGCTTCTCAGCAAGTCCCTGCAGTTCAGGAAAGAGACTAAGTGGCAAAATGGTTATGGGAATTCCCCTGTCCCTCACTTTACAGTTGCAGGACTGTTCTCTCTATCTCTTTATATGCTGAGGAATACAATGAAACATGAGCTGACAGAAACAGCAGAGGGTGATCCAACAGTGAGCTAACATCATCTGAAGCGATGGTGTCTGAAAGGTCTTCCCCATAGTGACAACAGCAAAATGGAGTGCCAATGAGCACGTCTGATGTTCTGTGGAAACAAACTGCAGCCATCAGCTAAAAAAAGCTACAAGACTTACTGACTCTGCAGAAAACTTAGCAGGATTTGACTGACAAACAGGTATTGGTAAGATGGCAGTTATTTCTTCTCCATTGGAAATAATTTCATCAGAGTATGTTCATTGGCTCCATCGCTGGAGTGCGTCCTGGTTTTGAAAATTTTGCTCTCAAGAATAAAACAGGCTGCTTGAACTCAGTTTATGGCAGAATATTAAAACATAAGGTTTGCATAAAATCACCCCTTTTTCATTTACTATTTATCTTCTGAGGAAAGCAAAACAATACATAATTAACCCAATCAGGGCATATATACAAATGAGCATGTAAATATGAAATCACATTTCTTTAGGTTCATAAACTGTCTCTTCAGGCATCCTGTCTGATTCCTGGTGCTCGAAATACCTCCTCACAAGATCAGGCATTTACTTCAGGTACTCATAAGGTCATGATCTCTTCTTTATCTAAGCCAGTACCAGGGCAAACATTATTTGGCTTTCCTCCCATCATCCTGCATGCTGTATCTCTAACCTCCTTTCTTTTCCCCAGCTGAAAGACATTTCCTAGGAGTTAACTGAGCTGGCTCAGTTTCATCCTACTAAAACAGTGCAAATACAGAAAGTTGAAGAAAAAACTGTACATTTTAACAGGAGACATCTAAGGATGTCAGCCTTGTGGTTAGTTATTTGCTATATGACAACCCTACATTCACTGGGAGAAATCAAGTAGCTACATTTTCATGCTACACCCTTACTATGGGCTACCTTCTCAGATGACTGCCTGTTAATAGACAAAATAATCCAAACTGAGTAGACAGAACTGGTACTTAGTTTGGGAGATGCAGCACCTGTCAATGCAAACCTATGAAATACCAAGCTTGATCTGCCATGCTTGGGAGACTAGCCTAGAACTTCAAAGTCCTCTGTTTCATAAATTGTGTTGATAAAACCTTGTGCTTCAGTCTATCAGGTTTCCATTTTTAAAATTATAACATTTTTTTTTTTCAGTTACATTTTTTTTATCCTGCTGATAAATACATTTAAGGTTGAGAGTTACAATTACAACGGGATGTTGACCAAGCCTTTAAAGTTTACAGATGAATAATGCTCACTGGCAAATAAATAAATACATAAATGATTATCTGTCTTGTTTCACTGTGAATGCAATATAAACATAGATGTTAAAAATGTACATACGTGATGAGCCAGGCAATCCTGGTGCTCCTGGCAGACCTGGTAAACCATCTCTACCAGGACTGCCTGGTAATCCAATCGTTGCTCTTCCTGGTTCTCCCATTTCGCCCTTCACACCTGGAATCCCTGGAGACCCCCCAGGGCCCATTCCATCTAGACAACATTGACACAATGAGCAGCTATCCAGCAGCAAACATATTGTTGTATTTTTAATGTTATGAAAATTACTGTGTCCTGAACTGTAACCATGTTAGCAAAGGACAATTTATAATGGCATACAGAGGAAAACTTATTAATTGTAGCTACCAACTGGCTCCCACTTACACACTCCTTTGGACATCCAAAAAACTTTATAAGGCTGTATTCAAGTCCCTCTAATAGTTAGATCATGAAGTATGGAAGACTGTAATTTGTTTATTTTCATATTGCGCTTGAGTGAGGTGTTTATATTTGCTTTAGTAGTTCCTAGCTCTGGATCATTGCTGGTCAGGACTTCATAGATGTATTCATGTGAAACAAAAATTTTCAAATGAGATTTTTGATGGGACAAATGGGTACCAGCTACAGTGGTTTTATTTAGCCAATCTGACAGCTATTTGCAAATACGAGAAGTCAATCAAAAAACACTCATTTTCAACATTTGCAATTATTTAAAATGTTCCATTTATAGGAAAGGTTTTGCCAATCAACTCATTTGAAATAGAATTCAAACAACCTTCTGTGCACCAAATATTTACACCTGAAGCTTTGAAATGGGCTGTAATCACTGTGTAATTCTGCTCCATCCAAGAACACATACTAGGTTTTCCTGTGCCATCCCTGACTCACACTTCTCACAGGGCAGCTAGCAAATCAGCCAGCTGGAGGAGCAGGGAGAGGCTAGATCCAACACCTTCAACATCTTCAGGCTGCTAACTCAGAGTCTTCTCAGCAACAAACACACAGAAAACAGCCTGCTAAGGGCAGATGCTTTACCTCTCTCCAGGCCTGGAAACCCTGGAGCTCCTGGAAGGCCTGGCAAACCACTGCCCCCTTCATCTCCTGGAGGACCAGGTATTCCTGGGTTTCCAGGGTCACCTGGGGCACCTATTAGACAAACACAGAGAAACAAAGAAGAAAAACCTGTGAGAATTTCTGCTGAAAGACTCTACTTTCAGCAGAAAGGTCTACTAACTCAGTGGCCGCTGATATTGCCAGTAAAGGTTTCAAAGCCATTAGCAGTAAGGCTGTTAGTCCAAGTTAATGGTTATGGGAAAACTTCCTCCTGAGCTCTGGAAGAGGTTCACAGAATCACAGAATCACAGAATTTCTAGGTTGGAAGAGACCTCAAGATCATCGAGTCCAACCTCTGACCTAACGCTAACAGTCCCCACTAAACCATATCCCTAAGCTCTACATCTAAACAGCTTTTGAAGACTTCCAGGGATGGTGACTCCACCACCTCCCTGGGCAGCCTGTTCCACTGCCTCACAACCCTTTCAGTAAAGAAGTTCTTCCTAACATCTAACCTAAAACTTCCCTGGCGCAACTTTAGCCCGTTCCCCCTCGTCCTGTCACCAGGCACGTGGGAGAACAGGCCAACCCCCACCTCACTACAGCTTCCTTTAAGGTATCTGTAGAGAGCAATAAGGTCGCCCCTGAGCCTCCTCTTCTCCAGGCTGAACAAGCCCAGCTCCTTCAGCCGCTCCTCGTAGGACTTGTTCTCCAGGCCCCTCACCAGCTTCGTCGCCCTTCTTTGGACTCACTCAAGCACCTCGATGTCCTTCTTGTAGCGAGGGGCCCAAAACTGAACATAGTACTCGAGGTGCGGCCTCACCAGAGCCGAGTACAGGGGGACGATCACCTCCCTAGCCCTGCTGGTCACGCTGTTTCTGATACAAGCCAGGATGCCGTTGGCCTTCTTGGCCACCTGAGCACACTGCTGGCTCATATTCAGCCAACTGTCCACCATCACTCCCAGGTCCTTTTCTGCCTGGCAGCTCTCCAACCACTCATCTCCCAGCCTGTAGCTCTGCTTGGGGTTATTGCGCCCCAGGTGCAGGACCCGGCACTTGGCCTTGTTAAACTTCATGCAGTTGACCTCAGCCCATCGGTGCAGCCTATCCAGATCCTCCTGCAGAGCCTTCCTACCCTCGAGCAGATCGACACACGCACCTAAAACTTACTGAGGGTGCACTCAATGCCCTCGTCCAGATCACTGATGAAGATGTTGAAGAGGACCGGCCCCAGCACCGAGCCCTGGGGGACACCACTAGTGACTGGCCTCCAACTGGACTTGACTCAATTTACCACAACTCTTTGGGCCCGGCTATCCAGCCAGTTTCTAACCCAACGAAGCGTGCGCCAGTCCAAGCCAAGAGCAGCCAGTTTCTTGAGGAGAATGCTGTGGGAGACCGTGTCAAAAGCCTTGCTGAAGTCAAGGTAGACCACATCCACAGCCTTTCCCTCGTCCACCCAGCACGTCACTTTGTCATAAGTTTGGTTGTTTAAAACTTGACGACATGCGAAAGGGGGAATAACAAAGAGAAATTTCCAACTCACGATGTGGAAAAGTGGTAAAATACAGTAATAATGAAAGCTGGGATCAGAGAAAGTGCTTTAAACTAGTTCCAAAGCAAAATGGAAATGTGTACCTGAAATGACTACACCTTCCCTGTCAACAACGATAGGAGGGCCTGGGGGACCGATGTCACCTAATTCACCCTGTAGAAGAAAAGAGATTCACACCATTATTAGAGATGGGTGGTAGAGGGGAAAACTGCTTGTCACGAAACAGACTGCATTGTGGTAGCAGGGTCTGGTCATTCACTGACTAAACATTACTCTTTTCCTTGGTGAAGAATTCACTTGTTCACTTTGATATTCTGCTATTCACAATTATCTGCAGTCCTGGTTTATCTGCTCTTCCTGTCTGATGGAACTGATGGCTGCTTAAGACAAAGTGCTTGCTAGTATCCAGCTGTCCTCTGAAGGCATCCTGTTACCTCAACAGAAAGCGCAGACAGGTACACACCATGTGTACGTAGGACCTATAACCATGTTTGCATATTGACCAATACCACACAGACCACTTTTTTTCAACTTGTGTTATGAATATGAATTCATAGCTGCTATGAATTGTTAAATATACATTTTTAAAAGCATTTAGCACTGCAGCTATCTGTTGCCTTGGAATCCTGAATTTGAATAATAGGAAAATTCATTCCTCCATAAAATCACATGAAGAGAACAAGCAAGTTGTGACAAACAGTGGTATTGCTCCTTCTTCTCACTCTAACACAGTATTAAATCCTATTTAAAACAGGAAGTACAAAATCTGACTGTTGTCCACATCACCATCATATGTAATATATAATAAACACAATTCAGTGTGCCAAGGCAGCGCAACACTTTGATGCTTCTTCCAGTATTACTGCTCTGTACATAAACTTTGACTGTTATTCCATGTGCTCCTCACAAAAAAGCCCTTCAGCACTTGCATTTCTCATGCCTGCCAACCATAAACCAATTTTGGTGGCAGGTAAGTTGTTTTCATAGCAAACTACTACCCCACCATTTTCCACTCAGTTTCCAGATGTCTGACAGCCTTGGCAGCTATCTTAAACATCCACTTACTTCCATCTAATCTTGCCTCAATTGCCCAGTACATGTGGCATTGGTGTAAGGATGAAGGAGACAAGAGACACTATATATACACAACTGTAAATCATGAAATTACGTGAATAAATGTTGCAAAGGTATTAAAATATCTGAGTGTTCACAGTTCAGCAACCGTTCAATTTTATTTTCATCGATAAAGTAAACGAGGAAGTAAAAAATATTGAAAATCACAGTCATACAAAGGTAAAGAGGGGGTCTGACTGGGGCAAAGACATTTATTCATGCAAATATCTTTACAAAAGCAGCGCTTTAGTGTTTTCATGTGAGAATTTACCTTTGTGCCTTCAACTCCATCCAGTCCTGGATAGCCGGGAACACCTGGATGACCCTGTACAGTCACACAGGAGAACATTTTTACACAGTGAGACAATAAGCCAGTGGCTAGCTGAGACACCTGCAGTGCTTGGACTTGGACCACAAACCCAATTGATACTATTACAAACACTGTCAAGCATCTGCAGAAGTAATAAAGAAAGAGAAAACTGATGGTATCAATTTCTCAGCACTCACAAAATACCTGAGCCTTTAGGCCTCCTTGTGCTGGAAAAATTCTGAGAACTCGTGAACAGGCATGGTGGTGTCTCAATGAAGAGGGCACTTTGGAGCTCTCACAGAACTCCAGAAACGCCTGAAGAGTCTCAAATGCTATTTTCCTTGCACCCCACACTTTCTCTTCTCTTTGTTCCAACTCCATGAACACACTGGTCCTAAAACTTTTTCAATGCCAGCTTTCTGCTATCCATTTTCTGGTAGCGTTCTCAGACACCAAAGCTCCCCTTCTGGATGCATGACTGGAAATCTACACTGAAGTGATCTATTTTTCTCTATTAGGTAGTGTATCAAACTGAGCCCAGTATGGATCCCAAATCCTACTGCAACTGCAGAAAAAATGGAATATTCTAAGAGCTCTGGAGCAGTGAACCTTAATTTGAAACTCCTGAAGTTGTGGACAGCTGTCTTTGACAGCAGCTCATGTTGCTTTCTTGAACAATTTCCACAGGTGCATCTGAAATCAGAAGCACTTTAGCATGTTTTCAGCCCCTTGATCACCTGGCCACTTCCACTTGGTACACTACAAAAAGGTAAAAGTGAGAGGGTTTGGCTCTTCCATAAAGAAATGTAATTTCCACCCTGTGGAGGTGGTCCCCTGAACACGCAGGGATAACTACAGAAACAGTTGAAGAGATTGAGAGATGGACTTTCCAGTTAGTGCTCACTAGTTTTATAGGGCAGATGCATTCACGCATCAGAGGAGATCTTGGAGCCAACAGAGAGATCAGAAGATCGTAAGCAGGTACATGGCTTCTGCAATTGTAAGTACAGTAAAAAATAAAAGAACATTTCACCTTTCTCCCTGGAATCCCATCAGATCCATCCAGTCCCAGAAGACCCTAAAAGAGCAAAACATTTTATGTAGCTCTGAAAGGTTCCATGTCAGTCTGGTCTTATTATATCAGGCTCCAAGATCTCAGTACCAAAGAATGAAAAGGTAAACTTTCAAAAGGAGAAGGTACCACTAATATTCCTTGTCTTCCACATACTAACAATCACCATTGAAAGAATTCAGCAGAACGATTGATAAAGGACCTCTTATCTTCTTTAGTCATTGTCTTGCTAATCAGTAGTTCAAGTTAAGTGAGTCATGGTGTCTCAACTTAGTAGAAAGTCAGGTAGGTAGTTTGTAATTACAAACCCATGAAACTTAATACAGATAAATGCTTTCTATCTTGATAATTTGTTCTTCACGTGCAGAACAGAATGTCTTGGTCTTTCTGTTGTGTACGAGCACCATTTGTCTGCAAAATCACAGTGATTTGAAGAATTTATGGCTGGCTTTCAAAAAAAAAAAGCTTTCAAAAATTGGAAAAACACAGGCCTAGTGGTGTCAAGACCTCCACGAAATAGTTCTGTATGATTTTCTTGGACTGCCATGCTTGTATTCATCTTTAATCTCACCTTTAGTCTGAGACTTTACTGAGAGAAGAACTATCTGTTGGATCTGTTGTTGTATGACACTGACTACTATGGGTCCCAGTCCTATGACTGGGACTTCTACATGCTTTGGGAAAGCTTGGTGAAAAGTTCACTTCATGAGACTAGCTTGAGAACAAGGTTACCTACCCTGCCACCTGGCAAGCCAGGCACACCTTTTTCTCCTTTTTCTCCAACACCTCCAAAGCCCTGAGGAAAAACATCAACATTAAATCCGTGATCTGTCTGCAATTTAACAGCACAGCCCTAAGACAGAACAAGCACAAATGCAACTATTACTGTAAACAGTACAACAGAGACACATAGGAAACTGACTTTTTCTTCTGAGCTTCTTCTGCCCCAGAAAGAAATCCCATATCAAGCAGTGCAATGTGTGCAGTACATTATCTTCTTCATTCAATGCAAGTAACACCCGGCTATGAACGCCCTGCAAGTCCTGCTAACTCCATATCATATTCTACATTTTAAAGTGCTTTGAAATCTTATTTCTTAACAGCAGTAGTTCAAGGCAGTACTCAGAGCATACTTTTTCACTTCTAAATGACATAAAAATAGCATTTTCATGCTCAACATTTGGAACTGTATGGTGGCTTTCCCACTCAGCAAGAAGTATCAAATCCAGAGATGTAACACCAGGATTTAATTTCAGCAAGTTACAGTAGTTAGGCAATTTTCAGGCTTCAATCGTGAAATATCTTATGCTTGTGGTTAAATTCACACATATGTTCAACCCCATCAGCTTCAATGGGCCTCTTGTGATGCATTAAGCTAAACATGCACATAATGGAACATGTCCAGAAAGGCTAATAACAAACTGTGCTTCACGAACTTTTTTTTTTTTTTTGCACACCATTATACTGAGAACAGCTGTAGGTTGGAAAAACTGGCAAACAATTTATGTTTTTGGTCAGAACTTCCACAAAATATTTATTCCCCAAACTTATCTAAAGAACCTGTGTTTACAGTAGGTTATAAGCTGGGAAATAGCTCTCTGGAATCCAGAGATAAATTGTTGTTGTTAATTCATACAGGGAAGATGCTACACATTCCTGAGTTTATGAGCACTAATGCTTAACAGGCCATTTAAAAACTGGATATACATATATATATATAGAGAGAGAGAGAGACAGAGACAAACAGTCAGACATAAAGATATGCATATGTGCTTTACAACTTTAAAGTAACAAAATGTATGTTTAAACATAAGTAAACAAAAATAAATAGGATTTTTAAAATATATCCAGCTCTGTGGGACATCAAGGAACACTGCCATCAAGCGGCCATGTAAAGGTTATGTCTACTTGCAAATTTCCTCTTGCAAATGAAATGTGCTGAAGTGATGACTGCTTTATTCAATCTCTAGCAGGACAAGACTGTCTTCTTGACATTTCCAGGACAAAAACTGATCAGATTACAGTTACACTCTTCAAAAATCCTGTGGACATTTGTATCAGATTTTCAAAGTTCTCTGGTGCCTTGAAACTCCTGTAGAGATTTTATGAGCTATGCGGAGGCTTCTGGACCATCTAATCCATATTAGGCAAAAATTAAAAACTCTCCTCTGCTCTTACCGGCAGGCCAGGCAATCCTTTTTCGCCCGGCAATCCTTGAAGGCCTGGCTCACCCTGAAACAGGGAAGAGGTAAACATAATAAACCACTGAACCCATGAAAGCAAGACTTACCCCAACCCACCCATCATACTCCTGACTCCTAAAGCGAGGCTTTGTAACTTATTTGGCAGCAAGGAGGCTTGATTTGTGTCATCGTTTGCCAAATATGGTCTCTCTCAGCAGTGTGCTGATGCATGCAGCAGATTGTCTGTGACCACTTCCCATGGCTTCACAGACCACTGCTTTGGAGTTATTGTTCCTCCACTGCTAGAAGGCAAACCAGAAGCATCTCAGATTGTCGTCTAGGGACTTCAAACATTCATAGTACTTCATAGAAAGCAGCAAAATAGCACATAATGAGACAGAATAATGTCTTCACAATCCTGCTTACAAATTAAAGAGCAAGCCAAATAAACTGCACTTGTCTGAGCATCACCTCATGCTAATGTAACCCCACCAAGTAAGACAGAGTGCACCATGACTTATGCAGACTCCGCAAACTCAGACTTGGCTCCCAAACCAGCCTGTGTATGTCCTACATTAATTCAGCATATGTAAATTCCGTGTGTGAACAGAATCTTTATCTCAAGATCCACAGAGCTTTTAGAGACACACTGATGATCTAAATATGCACCTTAGTAAATGCCTGGATAACAAAATATATGTGATTATTTCAAAGTATTGTGCATCACAGGGAAAGCAAGAGACCTGGAGCTTCTTATTTATTTTCCCAATATGATTTCTTTTTTTTTCCACTTGTGTTGACAGTTTCACATTTCACATGTCCAACACAAAGAAAGTACAGTTCATTCATTTAGGATTAATGATGGAAACCTTTAAATAGCTTTAAGATTTTTCATTCTGAGGGGTATGGATCCTCCAGTGCTCCACACTGCTCTGAGCTAACAACATTTTTATTCAATAGCCATCTGACAGATTAAACTAGTGCATAAAGTGAGTATGATTTGGCAATATAACAGCCCTCATTGTCTGGTATTTTTTTCAGCTTTCATAGCATGGACAGGAATAGTAAATTGTATTTACAGACCTTTTCTCCTTGCTTCCCTTTGGGGAATCCCATGAATTCTAGTATTCCAGTGGATGGTGGGGGACCTGGAGGGCCAGGCAGTCCTACATCTCCCTGTAAGCAAAAGAGGAAGCTATTAACATAAGAAGAGCTTGCTTAATTTCCAGTGAAAGTTGTTTCTGAAAAAAAGGCCACTCTAATTTTATCCCTCGTACATAAAAACTGTGTGCCTGAATTCTGGCACTGAGTTTGGTCATGGAAGCCAAAAGTCAGACTGAAAATTAAGACGAACAAAACATTAAACTTGTTTCACAGGAGCTGTGGATACGAAACAATGAAAGATTAAATAAGAAAACAAAAGGCTCAGCTTTAAAATCAGAAAAATAAAAATGCCCCAGAAACACTTCGAAGAGCAATATGAAAGAGAGGAAGGCAAGAAACAACTAGAAATGTAGCATGCTGGGAACTCATCTTAACAGTAGCAGAATCAAAAACTCTGAGAAGCTGCATTATGCCAACATAAATCCTCACACAGACTGCAAGATACCCATTTAGGATAGTAAGACTACAAATTACACATCAGTTGACCTAATGAATGTTATGTAATCCAAAGAGAATAAAGTCTGTAGAAAAATTCAATACAAGAGGTAAGGGTCCATATAAACTAAAAGACAGATTTGAAAGTTGTCTAAGGAAGACCTCATATCTTGATAGCCATGAAAACTCTGCACAGAAATGAGATTTTCTTTCCTCCCTTCACACAGGCAAAGCTCTCATCCTTTTTTCCATGTAAAAATGGATCAGCAACCAGCAAGATTCTTCAGTATTTGGACTGTCACTCAGTCCAAAAGAAGAAAAAGGCAAAGAAGAAAATGCTGTAATCTAGCCACCTTCTAGAGATTAAAGCTATAATGGAACACTGGAACACAGTTGCTTCACACTCTTTCCATAACTGAAAAAGTTTCACCTACCTTTTCTCCTTTCTCTCCTTGAAAGCCTAATCCCATATTACCCTATGGCAGAAAACAAACAAACAAACAGTAATGAGTGAAGAAATGAGACAAAAAAGGTAACAATCAGGTATGAAAAGACAACAGAAAGAGTAGGTACTTACTTTGGGACCTGGTGGCCCGGGGGGACCCACTGGACCCTAAATGTGAAAAAGATTAAGATTTTATTTTTTTGACTTGGGTAGGATGCACACAATGAGAGCAATGTTGTAATCTTCTAGTCTTCACGTCTATGATAGACAGCATAGCCCCTTGGCAGTCTGGTTAATTAAAAACAAATCTTAATTTAAAAGCAACAAACTTTTAGTTTGCTTTTACCTCCACCCAAATAAAACTCTCTTCTAGTATCTTGAAAAAGTGGCTTTTCAGCACATTTCATGATGACAAAGGCTCCAAACATGCAGAGGTCAGCATATTCCCTCAAGTCCTGAGCCAAGGAAGTGCTCAGAATGGTATCAAGTACTATTTGTAGATGGTGCTCTAGGGCTTTGTTGAAGCTCTCATTCATGACTGCTGCTCTGGACACTGCTCCAGAGGAGAACTTGTGACTAGTTTAAACAGCTTAAGTATTCTACACCTGAAAAATGTGCTTAGCACTTCTAGATGCACAAATGCTTTTGCTCATTGTCATGAGACAAATACAGGTAAGGATGAAAAATTGCCAGCATCTTGAACTGTTCTGTCAATCAGTGCAACAGTCAGGGTCTCTTACTTGCAAACCTGGTAATCCTATAGGGCCTGCAGAACCTGTTGGACCTGGAAAACCTTTTGGGCCCTATAAGAAGAACATAAGAGAAATACAGGATGTGTAGTAATTATCCCATCAAACCACAACCAAACACTGTCTCTGAAAATATGAAGTAATATCCCCTAATTATGTAGGTTCATTTAATTTCTATAATAACCTATTTCATATTAGTATATTTTTTGCAAGTCAAAGTTAACAGAGTTAAATGGTAGAAGGGAGTTTGATTTTAAAACAGAAAAATAGAACAGATAATAGCAAAAATCTGACTTCCTCTAACATAACGTGGACCCATGCATACCATAAGAAAATTGTAGTTATTCATGCTACTGGTATCATGCAAATACATGCCCCATTAATTTGAAAAGTGTCCTTGAGAATCAATACAAGAAGAAATACTTGCTTACTATAATATTTTTTTAAAATAATTATTCCCCAAATTAAATAACTTACAGAAATTCCGTCCAGTCCAGGAAGACCATTTTCTCCCTAAAAATAATAAATGCATTAGTAAAAATGCCACTATATTATTGCATCAAGCTAGTAAGGGCATTAAGTTTTGTGTAAATAGAAATATTTGCTTTTAGTTAATGTTAGATCAAGTGCACATGGGAAAACATTTTGACATCTGTGCTTCCATATCTAAATCGGGCAACGGACAGGTTCCAAACCTCTGGAGAAATGTCAACCATTTTATTTAAGGGTAGCGAGAGAAATTAAAGTGGCACTAAAAAGTTGTATTCATCATAAAAACACTGGAAAACACACATACAAAGTCTTTCCTTACAAAAACAGTATAAAATGTATTATAATGTATATAAATGGGTAGAATTTTTAAAAAGTTGGTAATTTTGACCAAAAAAATCAGTGTGAGGGGCTAGGCCTTACATGACAGAAAAATAAATCTTAATATTTTCAACATTTAATGAATCATGAGGCTGCTAAATGTACCACAAGAGGCACTGAATCCTTTACAGCATTTTCCAAGCCTAGTCCTTCCAGCAAAAAACAAAACCAGTGTAAGTCAGAGAGTGTATGTTTCAAGGCAACAAAGAATTAAATTTTTTAAATGAGTATAGTCAAAGAACCTATTATCATTCTGAACAATACACTGAGATCATCTATCCATAGTTTGTATTCTATGCATACGAAATAAAATTACAGACATGATACAGACATTTTAGGCAGAGGTCCTTATTAAACAAAGAGAATAAAATCCTGACTTCATAGTGGTAAATGATGGACTACAAGTGGGATATGATATCCATGATATCCAAACTCAGAGTATAACTGGTTACTTACTACTATCTCCCAGTAAAAAAAACACTTGGAGCCAACGGGGATTTTATGGTAGAAATCTTAACATGCACCCATGAATCTCCTGGGTTGTTTTTTCAATGGACCTGGCACATGTGAGGATGCCAGTTACAGGAAAGTTTGGCGTCTAAAAAAATATGCTCTCTCACACAAGTCAGGATAAGCTCACAAGAAATTCTTCATATCTTCAGTTTGAGGCCAGCAAGGAATAGTGATAGGTGCCCAGAGACAGCTGAAGGACCAGCAACTGCTCTCAACACTAACAGGATGAGCAATGTCCCAGCATTCCAGCATGGGATGAACAAGATGTGTTTGTGTTGCAAAGAGCAAGCAAGTCCAAGTTCTGAGAGCATTCTGTGCTGTCATTACATAATTAGAGGGCTTTTTCACAGCTCTGCCTTCAGACATACCTAGGATACCCTCGTCTAACATCATGAGCAATATAAGCTGCACCATCAGCCCTGTGAACTCTAGGACATCAGTGTTTCTCATACTGCATCTTCTGCCATGACAAATCTTACCTTCATTCCTTTAAGGCTGCCTTGAGCAAAAACAGGTTCTCCTTTAAGACCTTTTGGGCCAGGACGACCCTGATAAAAAATAAATGTCAAAAGTAAATTTCTAGAAAAAAAAAAGATACTGTTTTGGTTTTGAAAGAAATTATATTCAGTATTCTGAGCAGGGCAAACTCCTGGCTCCAGTGAACTGCAAAAGTAACACTGCAGTTGTGTCAAAGAAGCTGTGGTATTAGGAGAACTTAAGACTTCCTGGGGCTTTAGAAAACCAATGTTCTACAAACATTTTCTTTGCTATTTTCCTGTTTATATTAGATTTTCCCTTTATTTTAGGCCTTTGACAACTTTTAATATCCTATTTGAATTTGTTTGACATACTGTAACCCTCCTGTTCATATACATGTCTCTTGTGTAGCACTGTAAATCACCATATTTATTTAGAAACAATAAGAAAAAAAATGGTAGATCTCATGCTCTGCAGAAGTGACTGTTATAATTCTAGATTTACCCAATTTATTTTAATCTTGATCATCACATTCAATTTATCTGAGATGATTTCATTTAATTGCCATTTTAATTTGAGAGGGTGAGCTGATCCAAGCAGCTTTCTTTGCCAAAAATATAACCCTACAAGCATTACAAAAGAGAATTTTGAGCAGTAGGTATAAGTGAATCAGTTGCTTTAGAAAACCATACTTTAACTTGTTCTTGTTGCTTTGTGTATTTTCAACATTATATGCACTCTACATCTGGACAACATGTAAAGATTTTTTTTAGCATAGCTTAGAAAAAATGAAATAAATGGCAATACTTATATCTGGCAGATGTATTTTCTTCTTCTTCTTCCTGTTTAAATGCAAAGGAGCTCCACTGCTGGTAAGATTAGTCACATAACTTGGGCTTCTAAGATTAGGCTTTGAATGTGAACAAACATTCAAATATTTGTCAAATACTTGAATATCACACCAAATAGTTTCTGGTTACATTTTGAAACTAACCCCATATGTTTGTATGTATATATAAAGAATATGATTCCCCAAAAATATGTAAGAGTGGAGTTCTTAGAACAAATCCTACACACTTAAACAGGGTGTAGAATGTGAACCAGCTACCTCCACTGGTTCACATAGGTATTGTGAAGAAATACCTATGGTATATACCTATGGTATATATAATACCATATATATAATACCATAGGTATTGTGGAGAAATACCACATAGGTGTTTCTTCAAAGACAATTCACCCGCTAAGGCAAATGGGAAGATGTTGCTCTTACAAGCATCATTCTGTGTAAGATGGGAGTCTTGTCCAGTGCAGACTAGGTCAAACTCAAAATTGGTAGGGAAGTGTTTTCAAAAGTAAAACACATACCTTAGGAAAGTAAATCCTACTGACACTCAATGATACCAAAGCTTTTAGCTGCCTTAACACCTGAAGGAAGGCATCCGATATTTGATGCATAGACCTGAACACGTGATAACTTCCTTTTCTGAATCAGCATCCACTAACTTGAAACTTGCCAAGTGCAAGTTATTTGCCATTTTATGGTTCTTAGAAGCTTTATCATGGTCTCTTCTGAGTCAGATTGAATGTTGCCAGTTGCAACGGTATAACTTGTTGAGTGAACACATTGTCACAGGATCTTTATTTTATCTTCAGAAGTTAACATTTAGACAGTCAATCAGAGTGGAATTCCAATAAGAAAATGAAACTGAGCTCCAACAATGCTAATGAAATGAGGGTTCTTCCTAAGAAATTGAAAGTCACTTTTCCACCAATGGCAAGAAAAGCAAATCTTAGCTTAGTAACTACAAATGCTCTAGTTGCCTTGAGACGTACCGGCAGTCCAGGAATGCCAGGAAATCCATCTGTTCCAGGAACACCAGGACTCCCAATGGTACCATTGCAGCCATCAAGGCCAGGCAGACCTCTGGGTCCAGACTGGCCAGGGTGACCCTGTGTAAAAGGGAAAAAGAGAAAATGACTGACAGGAGGCATTTTATTAGTAATACTGTCCCCCAGAAAACTGATAACTTCCAAATGGCAACATAAAACAAAGGAACCAGACAACTCCCACTCAAGTTCAGTGTATGGTAGACTGCAGTTGAACTAGCTTATTCAGCCAGCATTGTTTATCCTCCCCAAAGCTTAAATCCTAGAACACTGGCTGGTTTCATTTAATTATCTTTTCCTCCAAGGGATAATTTTCTGAAGTGCATAATTTGTGCATGAGTAGGTCCTGAAAGCGCAATACTGGTCCCCTAGCAGTCTGAACTACATGGTGTGACACAGCTCAGCACAGCACACAAGGGTGCACCTGACACCAGGAGTGGGAGTTGCTCATGTAAAAACAAAGGGAAAAGGCAGGTTCAGCAATACTGAGAATTTACAATTCTAATCTGCTTAAAGTTTCAGTGACTTCTCTTCCTCTGCACTGTGGATTCTTTCTTTTAATAGTTCAACAGATGTTCCAGCTCCAGCATCACACCATTCAAGCACAACAGCTTTTCTCGTTATATTACACTTAAAACCTTAGGCTAAACAACCAGGACAAAAACCTAATAAAACTAGCAGTCTTTAAAAGAAAGTATATGTGATAGTCAGTTAATAAGAATTGTACCTAATTCTGATTTCACACAGTTTTGCCCTAATATGGCTCTATTAATTTGACTCAACACTATACTGCTGCAAAGGAGATAAAAATTAGAGCCTTTAATTATTTTTTCTTCAGAATCCTATGGGTTTGCATAGGCATAACAAAGAAAGGCAAAACTGTCAGTCTTACTGCTCAAGTATCGACTATCTCTTTATTCTATCCATCTTTTCACAGAAATGAGCTCTGTGGCACTCAAAGACAATGTTTTGTGGCAAGAGGAAAAACGAAACTTAGGGAGAGAGTACCAGTAACCAACAGTTCTCTCCCTCCCCTTTGTACACCCTGATCTTGAATCATCCCCAAACTACTTGTGTTTGATCCCAAAGGTTCATCCCTAAGACACCGCATTAAACAAGTTATGACTCATACTAGGAAAGTAAAAAAATAAACACAGATAAAATGGGAATAAAACAGAACATTAATAATCCTTCGTGCCAGATACTTAAAGCAAATCAGATTTGTGTTACTAAAGGTCTTCCAGTCCAAGCCAATAGCATTACCTCTCACCAAACTCAGTGAGAACTTTGGAGTAACGTAAAGCCTTTTGTCTAAGGATCTTAAAATGCCTTGCAAAAATGTAAGAATGCTGTAATCTTCATTTTATGGATGAGAAGCTGGGAGCACACAGTAGCCAAGTGCCATTCCCAAGGGCCAATGCCCACTCCTGGCTGCTCACACCTACCCTTTCCTTGTGACAGCATAAGCACAGGCACAGAAGGTAAGTCAGAGCAAGAAAACAACACAGAAGAAAAATAACTGTTCTGTTTCTTAAGTGTTAATTTTCATCCAGATGAGTTCCTTGGTCCAGTGCATCTGGCAACTGCATGGTGATTTGTGCCAACAAAATGGAGAGAAGAGGAGAGCGCCCAGATCTGCACTCTGTCAGTCCACAAGGTATGGGCTGAACCACTGCAATGTGCATCTCCGCTACAGGATCAAGGCAGTTCACCCAGACAAGTACAAATGTGAGATTAAACACAGCCTCAGGACATGGAATGAAGTCATCCCAAAACATGAGCACCAGGCATCACTGGGTATATAGTACCAAGAGCCCTGAAGATTAGTCTGTTCTTGAAAGCACCCACTTGTGATGTGCAAGCAGAGGGCTTGCCAGGCTCCATTCTAGCGACAGGAGAAGGCTGAAGCACCAGTTTTGGTTCCCAAAACTGGATAAATCAACGGCAACCCACCCTCCCCTCCATCCATACCGCATGTCATAGCCAAGAGCAGTAAGCCTCTGATGGGACAGGCTGTGACTGCAGAGGAAGGCCAGTGGTCAATTTCAATGAGGTCTTTCTCATTGTTTACAGCATGGACAACACAGAAGCTGTGTGAGAAGAGCACATGCATCTGCTTACAACATAAGGTGGCCAGCTGCCGGGTTTAGCGAAGCTGAACCCCCAACATCTGCCCCTCAGACAGATGAGGAACCAAGCTGCTGAGCCTCCAGGGTGGGCCAGGAGCCAGCTGTGGCAGGCAGCTGACTGGTAGGCCTCATGTCTTGGGAACAGTCTCTTAAATCTTGGCACAACACAGTCTCTCAGGGCCCAAAGGGTTTTGGTATCCCCTTAGTATGTGAGGAGGGCTCACAAAGGGGATATAAACTGTACTGACAGTGATTGCTTATGTGTATTAAATACATCTGTGGCTCTGCCACTTAATCCCATAGCATCTGTGTCTCTGGTCCTGAGCCAAAGCATCTCACCTCCCCCCCACCCAGAGTCTCTATTGCTTTAGAAAAATAACATACAATTTCCTACCTTCTGGCAAAAGTGCAATCAGAATTCATGATGGTTTGTTTTAAGAGTCTTACCTGAGCACTCATGACCAGCTTCATTGAGAATCATAGGAATCTGGCTTAAATGAAGCTTTTAGATGGGAATTTAAAACTCTGATTAAAAGAGCTGTTTTGATCTCAAAACCAGTGGTTTATAGTTTCACTCTATTAGTTCTAACAGTTTCACTCTATTCACTTGTTCTCACTTCCTCTGATTCCTGTGTCAGGCGCGTTAATTTAGCTCAAGCACTTCAACTGATTATGGCAGACTTTCACAGTTGTACTTACTACATGGCAGGGTGACTAGTTTACAAACCTGAGCTAAAAACAGGATGGAGAGATCACTTGTGCTCTCTGTTCTCACAAAAGGAGACATTCCCTGGGAGCCAGATAAGGAAACTTGAATTGTTCATCTAGGCTCTTGCTTTATCTGACTCCTTCACATACACTACTGCTGTGATCCCAAGCAGCCTCTTTTCTAAATCAAACAGGCTTAGCACAAAGGACATCCCAACAGGAGAGCTCAACAAATATTTAAAAACAGGGAAACAAATGCAATCAAGGGTGAACACAAAACTAATAGAATAAGTGGGTTCATAGATCGCTACGGCAAAGTGGCCTCTTACAGCCATTGCCAAGTGCTTGCACTTCCTCTAGGAGGGACACAAAATAAAGAGCTTTGCCTTTTCACGTAGCTCTAACTTTCATTGTGCAGACAAGAGCTCTTTCCTCATAGAAATATTTCCTTCTAGAAACCTTAGGGTAGCTCATGAAAAGCTATGTGCATCTCCCAGGTTCAGTTTCAGCCCTTGCTAGAGGTTGTCCTTGAATCCTGTCCTATGGGAAAAAATAAACTTCCCGAGCAGGGCCAAGGATTTGAGGGTTTCCTCTGCAGTGTGACACAGAAGGGCTAGCGATAAACACATGCTGCTGCTGTATTTACTAAATTAAAGGGATTAGTCAGTCCAGCTGCAAAAACAGGATTTACTTGCCACCAGCATTCCCCAAAGGGAACTCTGTGGAACACCACTTCCCCTAAGGTCAGCAGCGGGATTCCCCTCTGAATCACAGCCTTGCAGCCTTTTGGCCTTGACTAAAACATACCTGCCCACGCGAACATACCTGCATACTCCAAAGACACTTTCTTAATGTTGGGATGTTAATTCTTGTGCAAAGATAGTGACTTCTTTTTAATTCTCTCTTAAATGTATCAGCACACCTATGCTCTCTGTCCCTTTGCATTTCGCACACCTATATAAGGTGCATATGTTCATATACATTTCACAACAAACCTAAGCTACTCCCTATCCTGAAGTGCAATGATATAGATGTATGTAAATATTTTGTCAAGCAGTGGTATTTGCTACTTTTGCTCTGAATGGAAATATTTGTCTCAATGGCTCGAAGGTAAACAATATGAATTATTTTCCCTTCACCCTTTTTCTGTCCTGCAGTTGTGACACAGAAGAGCTGTAGGGAGAGCATTTTGCCGTTCACGAGCAGCAAAATCTACCTCTTTCCCATTCACCCACCTGCAGAAGATTGTATATCAGACAAAGTAGATTGGGATATGCTGGAGGCTTTGAATCCTCTCATCTACCTCCCTTTCTCTCTTGGAATGCCTGCTGCTGCCAACTACCTGGCAATGGCTGTTGCCCTATTTCTCTCCCCCCCTCATTGTTGGGAATCCCCTTTCTCCAGAGCCTCATCTGAAAAAATACCCAGAGAACAGCATGTTCCCACAGTGTGTTCAATTAAATTAAGTATTATGGGAACAGCTTGTTCTCTTCAGAGTTAGAAAGTTAGTTGGCTGGTGGGAAAAGAAAAAATAGCAAGGGAGTGGAGCAGGAGAGAAAACAGGCAAGGATGAGCAGAGGGGGAGAGAAGGACAGAGGCCAGGAAGGAACTGGAATCGAGCAAGCTCATTTACAGGGCCAACTCTGCATTTTCAGCCAATCTATCAAAACAATTCAGTTTTTGATAGGAGGTCGGGAAACACAGCTCCACTCTGTTGAAGCTCTTGGCCAGCTGAGGAAGTAAGAAAGATGGGAATGAAAAACATGAGTGTAGTCAGAAGGCACACGTATATGGAAGATGGAAAAATGTCATCAAAAAAGGAAAAATAATTCAATACCAGAAGGAGAAAAATGAACTAAATGGTGCTGAGAAAGCAATTAAGTTTGGGGCAACTTCTAAAGCTGGCCCGGCTAAAACTCCCCTCAGCCAAAGTGTCTACACATCTTTGCAAGAATCACCGGGGAAAAACAAAGCAAAAGACAGCTGATAAAGATACCTTAGGCACCCAATTTTGGTATGAAGTAGGAAGAAATTGTCATTATAATGTTCAAGTTCGAAACAAACAAAACATTCCTGATGGTCAGGGAAAAGTTACCTACTCCTATTGCATGCCAAATACAGTAAATTACCTCTTTTCTGTCTTGGGTTTCTGAGAGAGAACTAGCACCTAGTTGGGAAGCAAGGAATCTCTGGAGAGCCTCAGCTCTAATCATTGTTTTGGTTCACATCATAGGAAGGAAGATCAAGGGAGACATGGTAACACTTATCATATACAAGAAGACTATTAGAGAGAAAAATGGAATAATCTGCCCCCTGTGACCATGATGAGTAAGGTAAGAACTAACAGGTTTAAACTATGGTAAGAAAGATTGAAGTTAGACTGTAGGATTACTTTTTTTTTTTTTTTCCTTCTCAACAGAGAAGCTAGAGCCTTCATCATTACAATGTTTGAAGAATTGGTATTTCCTTCCAGAGAGAAGCAAGACCTTTGCAAGATACATTGTGCACGTGCTAAGACACTATTATCGTGCTTTTGGTTGTGACTAACATTCTGGTGACTTATATTTACATATGAAAACTCACTGGGATCCCATTGATTCCTTGAAATCCTGGAACTCCCATTGAGCCCTGAAGAAAAAAAAAAAGAATACATGTTATTTTTCTCTTTTTCAATTTCTGGTTACTGGACTATATATTCCAGTATATCTCACTTATTGACAAGATACTTTTCACTCCAATGTTTTTAATCATGGACTTCAGCCATCAACACCAAGAGGAATAAACTATCTCATATAGATTCTCTCTGACCGTATGGGTCACTGAAGACACTAACTGAGCATCTGAGCTTGACTGGACGCCAAATGAGTGTTTCAGGAATGTCTTAATCAGGCAATTTAAAGGAAAAATATAATCTCCTACTGCACATCTGGGGAAAATGAGATGCCAGGAAAATAAACAATGCAGTATAAATTTAACTCCCAGTGTAACACTTGATCTTCCAAGAGTTTTGACAGGTCTTACCACTGTAGTTTTTATTTTTTTTGTGTGTGTCTATATTTTGATACCACCACCTAGAGATATGCAGACCATTGTATTACCACCCCATCTAAGTTGTAAGTGAATTCCACTTCGTTGGTTCTACTGCTCTGCCCTAAATCCTAGCAGAACAAGTTATGTGAGCACAATATCCCGCCTAAACTATTCTATCATTTGCTATTGTGTCCATTCCTGGGCACTGCATTCATTGACACCTACCCCTTATGCTGGGTTATTCTATTTAATATAACATAGTGTATCGTATTATTTCTGTTACAAATAGCTTTTCACCTGCAAAACTGAGTTACAGGTTCTGTTCAGTAGCCATTTCCTTTGCTTTTCTAGACACCAGCTCAGGATCATCTATATGGGAATCAGCTCCAGGTCTCTCTGAATGTAGTATGATAACATTTATCCTGGGCAGGTGAAGTGAACAGAACAACATAACTCCCAACAGAATATTTATTTAGCTATGGTTCGCCTCCCCGGATGGCTACAACATTCAGCAGCTTTGGAAGCTGTGTTTTCACTTTACAATATAAGCAGGACATTCTCTAAATATAATAATGAAATACTCTTTCATTCTTACCCCTGCACAAATAGTCCAAAACTATCTTTATACATTCAAAAACGTATTCAAGGCCATAAATCTATTGAAAGGGAAAAAAATGAAAATTCACTGTTGAAAATACCTTGATGCCTTTGTGTCCAGGTGGTCCGGGGGGGCCCACTGCTCCTCTCTCTCCTTTTGCTCCCAGCAAACCTTCTGGACCAGTAAATCCAGGAGCGCCTATTGGTCCTTGAATCCCAATCGGTCCTGGTCGACCCTAACATAAAACAAAAAGTAAGTCAATGCACCACATTCACTAGCACTTTTTTTGATTACTTCAATTACTTCATCCAGCTTGAGCTATAACATAATTTGATACCTCTCAGGGTAGTTAGGACCTCCTGAAGTTTTCGCTGTACATTTTAAGACAAATGTTGTTTATAGAGGGATTTCAGGTAAGTCATGACAAATTTCCTTTTTTTTTTTTTCCTCCTGGAAGATTTATTAATACCCATATTGTTGTAGGAACATGGGAAAACAACAGTGTTTTGAGATGAAGTTGACTACTACTTACTGAGTTTGCAACCTTTATTTCCAAGCTGCAAGACAAAAAGATTTTTTGCTTATGCTTTAGTTCAACAGAGTATAACAGAAAGTCAAAACAAGATGCAAGAACTGCATCACATGCAATTAGAAAGCACACTTTAGTTAACTTGAGACTAGTACCATAGTTGGCCCAATACTGGGATTAATTCCACTGTGAATTACTTCATATTCCGCTCTGATTACCTTACCAGAGTCAGTGTGGATTTGGATTTCTTAGGCTCAAAAAAAAGAGTGCATTGACTAAGCATTGCCTGAAGATGGCAACCTTTTCTAAACCTGCAGACTCATATATGACTGATGAACTTTTACTATTCTATTACTACCTAGATGTACAGAGTCACTTGGTACTTCTTTATTTAAAAAGCCAACACTAAAGAAATTTCACTGTAGGTGCTCCAGCATCTTCTTAGCCACTTGGCAGCCGAATCCTCACCACAGTTTCATGTTAACATTTTTCAATTCAATTCAAATTCAATTCAATTCAAGAGTACCTGAAATAGATCAATAGCGTCTAAGATCCTAAAGTATGGGTAGAAATTGGCAGTTTAGATCCATGCTCTCCAGTGGCAAGACACTCAGTGGATTACATGATGTTATTCATGCAAAGAATGAAGCCTTAATTAAAATATATAGAATGGAGGAAGAAGTTTTTAATGAAAATAAATCCTCCTTCCTTCACTCCTTTTCTAGTGTTCACATCCATGGTAGTGTATTTCTCTTCTATTTCCCTAAGTCCTTAAAACAGCAGAAGGAATGCAGCTCCCTGCTGCAAGGGGTTTAGTCATCTCAGCTGGAGACATACAAAGTCCTGACTCTGCCTTGGCAGGTAGAAGACTTTGCAGTTAACTTAAAAATGCATTTTTATATGTTAATAATCAAGCATACTGAAACAGAGAGAAATTCATTTTAAAATCCTTCTTCCTGGATCATTTCTTGTACCTGTTTAGGTTGAAACATTTCATCACTTGTTCCATATTCCTACACTACTGGAGCAGGTTTCTTTTAAACTTCAGCAGTTCCCCCATTCAGCCCTGCTGTTGCCATTGTTTCACCCTGGCCTTCCAACAGAGGTGAAGTGCACCTCTTTTACATTTCATACCTTTCCTACCTAGACACTATGCACACTGTGCACTTCCAGGGGAGCAGGCTCCCATCTCAAAAGGCTTTTCTGTCGATTATTTTTAACTTTTTTTTTTCACTCTGGGATAACTATCAGTGAAATCCTTTATATTGGGAAGCACACAATCATAACATTAATACCCAAATCTTCAGAGGCCCTTGGCAACCACACCAAACAAGGAACGTGTTGTGAAAATCACATGCTTTGCTCTCGCTTACAGTCTCAGCCTTAACTTTGTAAGTTCCCATGGTCACAAGCTATTTAGACTCTTGCAGGCAGTGTTTCACTTTCAAGACATGGGGTGAGGACTGTTCACCTCCAGGCAAGCCAGTAAGGGAGAGAGAGAGACACTAAAACGGGCACATTAATGTTCTAGACAGACACCACCCTCAAAAGCTCCAGCATCCAAGCATCCACCAAGATCTCTAAGGAAAACACACTCAATTCCCCACTTGTTTGAACTGTTAACACTTCTATATTAAATTAGTTTGTCCACTGAATGATACTGCTTCACAAGGACTGGAACTGATAGCAATTAACATTTTAGGAGGCTTTTCTTTTGCACGGCTGCAGATTACTTTGCTATATGTACGTAGATGAGAGAGCAAGGACCAGTGACTAGAGGTCCTGCCTGTGTTCAGATCTGGAGGGGACAGAAAAATTAAACTTGTTTTCTACAATGTCAGTGTCCACAGGTGAAAACCTTCTTTTTGTCTTATTGAATAAATACTTTAACAGAACCTGAGGATTTTGTCCAGTGCCTTAGTCACAAACTATGAAGACACAGCAAAGTGCTTCTAATCTCTCTGATAATGGGATTATGCCATGATAATCAGGCTCTCAAGAATTTCTACTGGTTCTTTTGAAGTCTTTGTGGATGGAAATCATATTTTCTATGCTGAAACAAAGGACTTTCCTTCACTGCTAAAAAAGCTGCATTTTTCATCACTCAGTAGCACTCCCATGAACTGCCCCGAGATAAAAGCATTTTAAAGAGCAGGCGCTGTTGTGCACAGGCACAAATCCAGGATTAAAGCACGGCAAAGACTCAGGTTTTACCACAAGGTAAACTCTAGGGTTCAATGCCAGGTAGAGCTACTGTTTGACCCCGCTGAGTTTACCTTGTGGTAAAGCCTAAGTACCTAGTCTGTACTGTACTTTGGCATCATGTTCGGCTCTTATACTTCTTACTTATCCCAAGGATAAAGAGAACAAACATCTCTTAGCAGCGAGGACAAGGTTAAACATAAAACGTGAATTATACCAAACGGAAACTTCAGTGATTTAACAGAGCCCTCTATTTTTAATCTGTTTGTTATTTATATATATATAGCCTAGTAGGCTGTAGAACAACCATTAGGAACTGAAGAAAATGGTATCAGTTTGGTTTCTTGGCTGCGTGACAACTCAAAAAAAAAAAAAAAAAGGAAAGTATAGAATTTCAGTAACATCAAGCAAGGACAAAGTCTATGAAATCATTGCAACTTGCAGATGTTTTCATGGATGCCCGCTAGAATTCCATATATTTGAAACCCATGAGCTGTATCCTCAAACACACTTGTGTATCAGGCTTTTACTACCCAAGCAGCACAAAGTGAGGATGCCTGACTCTCTGTAATGAATAGCTCATCGGTACACAACAAGAAAAATGGCATCATATATCTGTCACCTCTCCATAGATTAATTTCAGAATTTCGTGCCACAAGTTGTGTTATATGCATCCCTGCAATGTGCTTAGCCATTGCAACCATTAAAAATACAGAGATGCTTCCCAAGAAACCCAGGTGTCCATTCTTGATGTAACTAACAGGAAAAAAATGACAGAAGTAGGAACCACACATAGCTTCTGAATCTATACCCACTACAGAAGGCAGCAAAATCAAATGGCCCCAGAACATGCTTTGATCAGGTCTTTCAAGATGGAAAAAGTTCTGTAACACGTGCCTTCTTCCCTTCACCCCTGTAATCCATCTGCAGCCCTGGGTGTCATGAGGAAAAGCCAGTAATAATGGGGCCTCTCTAAGGAATTCGCTGCTACACAATCAAATACACCGGTTTCTCTATTGTCCCTACCCCTTTTGCCAACTCTAATACCCCACATAAATTTTTGCCCACTGCAGCAGAGCTGCTACACATAGCACTGCGAATTCCAAACATTCCTTTTTTTTTTTTTTCCCATTTCCTCTGCTAGCTTGGAAAATAAAGTGCAAATAGATTTGATTTTTTCACATGGTAGCAGTATGGAACCACTGGACATGCCCCTAATTTCAGGGACAAAAGCAAATACAAGTGCCTTCTCACCTGGGGGGCAGTTCGATTCTCCTCGCTCACTACCAGATATTAACTCAGTGGTTCATCAGCAAAAACGGATGCTAAAACTCACAACATGAGAAAAGTTTGAGAATATTGCTAACCTAGCAGAATGCTGCTGGTCAAGTAGGGCAGAACCAATTTCTCCTTTGCTAAGTTTTTAGACCTCCCTATTTCAAAGAGCAAAGCATTACTATTATTACTTCAAACAAACTAAAGATCCAGTGCATGTAAAGAGCCATTGGATTTAAAGACGTTCATGTTTTCTCAAACTAGAGCATAAATCTCTCAAACAGATTAAGGGTTGTTTTCTCTAGCATGGCTTTTGATCTCTGTTCTGTACAGTATTAAGTTGTACAGAATCCCAGGCTCCTTCCCTTCCAGAAGAATTCAGTAGCCACATTTTTTAGAAATGTTTAATTCACTCTCTTTTTCTTCATCCATCACTTCCCCCATAAACACTGCTTTATCAACACACAAAAAAAGACATTAGAGACAATGATTTACTTCACAAATACATGGTTTGTAGTCTGAAGCACCTTATACTCAGTTGATCACAGTGAGGCAAACCAAATAGTCACCCATTACCTCTTTGTTGCCCTAGAAATGTATGTTCTCATATCCTGTAAACGCTAAGCAGAATCTAGCCTGAAACTTCCAGGGAAGATCTACGTACCCTGATGCCCACGTTGTGCAGGGTGACCTGGCAAGGGACTGATCCTTTCGCACAGGTCAGTGGCAGGACAAGGCATTTCTTCCCTACTCATTTAACTCACAGCCACTCTCTGCGATCAGGGCTGCCACATGACAGAGGCCAACACATGATGGACACACCGAACTCAGACGTGCCTACAGCCCTTAGCACTGCCAGGCAGCAGTGCCCATCATCGTGTAGGAGCCCAGCAGTTGCATGACACTTTGGTTAACCACTTCTGCTTTCTGCGCCTCCGTTTCCTCTCCTCTTCTACAAGTTTCCTGCAGCGGTGATTATCTCCCGCCTGATATACGCTGCTCAGCACAAGAGAGCCCTGGCCTCACAGTTCTACCTTGATAATAATAATTACTGATGAAAAACCCTTTGCTATTTTCCTAAATTACAGGTCAGGTATCCCATGCTCTGCTCACATTCCAGCACAAGCAATTATTTTCCGTACTGAAAAATGCTTTGTACTTTTAAAGGAAAATATTCTGCCATTCTTCTCCTCAAGACTTCGGGAACCTCTTGTTCAAAATGGCCTCTT